ATTAACATTTGATTTTAGGTGTAGGGGCTGAATTAACCAGATAGAAAGAAAGAAAGACCATTTCTAGTGGTGAGAAGAGCACTAATAGAGGCACAGTGATATGAAAACGTACAGCATGTTGAAGAAAGTGGTATTTTCCTATTTAATTTAAATCAACTGATCAACCCATGTGCATCTTGTCCCCTCTTTTCTAAATTTAAGGGAGAAAAATCCAGGGGTGACTGCTGGAGTGCCTGGAGAAGGAAACCACTCCCTCCTTCCCACACCCCTCCTCTGCTTTGGATCCATTTGAGCAGTGGATTTTGGGGGTTTCCAAGCTGCTTTTATGCCACTTGCCCACCTCCCAACCAACTCACCACTTCAAGCAGCAGCTGCTTATCCTGTTTAGTCATACACCCCTGAGCTGTCTGAGTAGCTGTCTTAGCTAGCTGATCAAAATCAGAAGTGCAGAAAGGAAGACAACCAAGGCTCTGATGGAGATTGAATTTCAAAGCAGGTCATTTTACTCTGGAAGCCTGAGAGATGGGCTGGCCCTAACCTTTTAAAGAGACAGAGGACTATTGAATAGTTTTCAGCCCGCCTTCCTTATCAACCCAGTGCTCATCTGAGCAGAAGGTACTAACATTCATCAAATGGTTATGGCTTCTACGTCATCCATTGATATCTTTAAATGGAAGAAACAGCATCAGAGAGTAAGGAACTTGCCCAAGGTCACAGAGCTCGTATGTGAATAAGGACTAATGTCTTGGTCACTGTGACTCTAAGTTGTATGTATCGACAGTTGGTGCTGTACTACATTGCTAGGTGCTTTCGGAAGTTTCTATGATTAACACACGGCCTCATTTATTGCTACAGGGTATTTGCACATGTTGCTGGGGTTGCATAATGGGTGCCTAAATCCCACATGCTAGCGGCAGTATCAGTAACATTGATGCCTGTAGGATAGGCCCAATGATGGGAATACAGTGGAAAGTTCTATCTTCTTTTTTAATTCAAATTTGATAGAAAAGGAAAGAAAAAACTTGTGTGTCAAAATATTTTGAGGAAATCAACATATATGTAGGCAAAAGCACTGTAGAAACTATTTGGGGAGAACAAAGGATACAGAAGTCACATCATTTGTTGACTCGATTCAATTCAATGAGCGTCTATTTAGAGCAAAGCATGTGAGCCAGGGACATGGTATCTGAGGAGGAGCAAGACAGTTATCCCCTTTTAAGGAAACTTTGGTATAGTGAGAGAGACTAACCCAGAGACAACTGTAATCCAAGAAAGTCAGTATACTCAGGGGGTCAAAGGAAATACCAATGGGGGCACAAAGAATTCAGGAAAAACAGGTGACATTTAAGCTGGTCTGAAAAGATGATTAGACAACCCCCAGCTAGGGGAGGACATTCCAGGAAGGGAGAACAGAATATGAAGTGACATCCAGAAGTAAAACAAAAATACATCACATGTTCTGGTAACAGGGAACAGCTGTTGTAGGTGAGTCAAAGGGAACAGCAGGGCATGAGGCAGGAGAGGAAGCTGGGGCCAAATTATGAAGTCTCTAACTAGAGAGTGACTCTCCAAGGGTGGTGATGAGTACAGCTGGTTGGTGAACTATCACTGTTCAATGACAAGGAGAGAAAAATTTAGAGTATTTAGACACTTTATGGTAATTTTACAGAAACTTAGGGCCTTTGAATTTCATCAAAACCTGTACAGCTGTGAGCTGGAAAAAAAAAAAAGCTCATTCTTCATCGTGTAGTCTGAGAAACATTGGGCTTCAGAGTGATGCTTTCCTAATACAGAATTTAAAATAGAAGAGGTGTGATTTTCGGCTGTGGACACATACTGCCAACATGACTTTAGGAATACACTGCTGGTTGCCAAGTCTATAGCTGTTTCCCCAGTCTATAGCTGTTTCCCCTTTCACCTTCATTTTTGGAACTCTGATTTTACTTGGGCAACATAATAAGGAAGGTGAACTTCTCCTTCAGATGCCAGGGACTAAAACATTCCCCTTGATGGCAGCTGGTTTATGGACATGTGACCGATGAGATATAAAAAGTAGGGGGTAAAGGAAGGGCTTCTGGGAAAAAGGAAGTACAACTTATCAAACTGACAAAGATTGAAAAAGTTAACCTTGCTAAAAGCTTATACAAATTGGCACTCTTTCTAAGTCAGGCAGTACTCATACAAAGCCTTGAAAAAAGGCTTTCCCTGTGGCTCACCCTTAGCTAAGTGATAGTGAAGGATGCTTGTAAAGACTTCCCTATGGAAACATGGTGTAAGGCCAGGGAATGGCCACTGAGGTTTTCTGATCCAGCAGACCGGGTAAAGGAGGAGTCAGAGTCCTCAGTGGCTTTTGCAGGTCTTTTATTGGTGTTCACCAGGCATATGGCAGGCAGGGGTGCTGGGGGACCGGGAGGCTGGCAGTCCTCCCAGCCCCCAGCAAATCCGCACTCTCTCTGGGCTCTCTGGCGTTCTCTGCTTCTGCTTCTTTGCTTCTCTTCGGCTCCTATTTCAGCTTCTGCTGCTGCTGCTGGCATCCCCGTGACACCGCCCTTAAAAGCACAGTCTTAGCCCAGGTGAATCCCATCTACCTATGCCCACACCCTACTCCAGGTGCCCGCCATCAGGCATGCATTCAGGACCTCAAGGATCCATCACCTATCCTGATGGCGGGAGGGCAGAAAAGCCTGACATTTTTCCTTACCCTACACATGGGTTGCAGTGACATTGAGGTAGTCAAAAAAGTATGTATATATGAGAAAGATATATGACAAAGTCAACAAAAAGTGGTCCTATTATAGACTGCTGGGTATTAAGTGATTTCTTTCTCATGTTACCATCAAATCAAAACACAAAATATAAAAAAATAATAGTAATTTCGGTATCTGGTATGTTAGTTCAAGACAGACACCCTCCCACCACAAAGACTGAGACCCAATTCCTATAATGCTGAACACATATAATTACTTTAATGAAATGACTATGACACTAATTTATTTAACCATTGTACAACAGGGAATTGGTTAAATTATGATAAGCCATAGAATGAGTTTATACATAGCTAATAGAAATCACATTATAGAACTATACTCATGGACAGTAAAATATTATAAAGGGGGAAAGGCAATCAATTTTGTGATCTCATTAAAAATATGTAACAGGGGGCCTTCCCGGTGGCACAGCGGTTGAGCGCTGGGTTGCGAAGCTGCCCGCGGCCTCTGGGCGCCGGTTCCATCCCCAGCTGCTTCCCGGCCACCGGAGGAGGGTCCCACATGGCGTGCAGACCTCTCCTGCCGCCCGCTGCTCCCCTCAGCAGTGTACTTCGGTCCTTCTGCCTGCTCTGCTCCCCGCTCTGGCTCTGGTGAATTCTCTCACCGTCCCGCGCTTCTGACTGTACCCAGTGCATGTATAAACAAACACAAACAAATAAATAAAACATGCCTCATTAAAAAAAATATATATATATGTAACAGGGGGCTTCCCTGGTGGCGCAAGGGGTTAAGCCACAACCTATGAAGCCATCTGCAGCCACTGCAGCACAAGTTCAATCCCAGGCCAGGGAGCTACCCACATGGCACAGCAGACCTCTCCTGACTCACCTGCTGCTCCCCTCAGCAGTGCAGTTCATTAGATCTGTCTGTTCTGCTCCCCACTCTGTCTCTAGTGAATTCTCTCACTCCCCACACCTCCAGCTTGTACCCCAGCTCTTGTACATATAAATCTTTAAAAAAAAAGTTAACAGAAAAATGTTTTCATTTTTTGTTTTAAAAAATATATAGATGCCTAAGAAACAGTTGGAACAGCATACAACAACAAATGGATCATAAAACAATGTATTTTTATTTTCTTTTGTAGTCCCGGGATATTTTCAAGCAAAATTTGGGTAACTACCACAGATCTGTTCTGGGTGGGAAGCTGGTTCATATCTGAAGATTCCATTCTTCATCTAGAAGAATGTTCTGAAAACCCTGAAGTCCTTTAAAATTAAAGTAGCATTTTCAAAGAAAAATATGAATCTAGTATCAAAGAATTAAGAGAATGTTAACAATGTTAAGTGCTAGCACCTGTGGCCAGTGCTTTATGTACATCATTTTAATTAGTATTCGGTCTTGTTAGATAATCCTATTTTCCTTGATTCTTTTGTTCTTTCATGAGAAAAAAAAAACCAGGCCCAAAGAGGCGGTGAATTTCTTGGTTACATAGCCAGCTGTTGAACCTAAGAGTGTTATATTTCAAAACCATGGTTCTAATAAATTATCGAGAAAGGAACCCTAAGGAATTATTTAATTCAGCTTCTTCACTTTATAACAGAGTCAATTTTCCCATCACACAAGATACTACATATATCTTACATTCCTCAGCCTTTTTGTTGTTGAGATTGAAACTTAGTATACTTAGAATACAGTTAATTAGCCCAGAAAGAGTTAATAGGACCACAGGGTTGCTATAGTAAGTGAACCACGCATTCTGGTATCACTCTGTTAAACTATTTCATTAATTTACTTGTACATATTCAGTCTATGGCAGAGCCGGCTTCTAATAAGAGATAATTATCTGGGCTTAAGCAATAAACTTGATTCTAGTCAATTCTAAAATGAAACTAGCTAGCCACTGATTAATCATGCCAAACACCTTTGAGGCTATTAAGTGATCCAAAATCTAAACAAACTACTTCCCCAAAAGTCAGAACTAATAAAAACAACTGTATTGATTTAAAATACAGATACAGAAGGCTTGCCCAGTTCTTGCCTCTAAGGAAGTTAAAAATAAAAAAAATCTTGAATGAAACGACCTGGCTACTGTACTCATTCTGAATTGGTAAAGGGTTATTTTCTTACTTCTTAAGCTCCTAATGGTGGAGATTCATTGGATGAGACCATTATCTGCTTTTTCCTTACAAGAGATATTCAGAGTCCCCGGAATGACACAAGAATATAAGAAACTTACATGTTTTAAGATTTGTTTACACTATACCCTTTAAGAAAAACAAGCAAACAACTAAAGACAAACACACATGAAGAGATTTTTGACCAGGGATATTTCTTTTAATAAATTATAAATACTTCTTTCATTTGTCAAAGTTCATCAAAGAACTCCCAAAATCATTGAATCTTCTTCATTCTTCAGGAATGAGCAGACCACCTACAGAAAGAGATTTCAGCAAGTCAGATTTCAAACATTATGCCAGACCTATAAAATTAGGAAATATTAACATCACTGGAAATGAATGCCTCCACCAGTGCTATTTACTAATTGCCACAATTACCCTAAACCAGTCATGAAACATTTTTAAATTCTAGTTTTGCCTAACTAAAAAATCACTAAAATTGTTCAATCTGTACTATTTAATCTTTAGAGGTGTGTTGAAGTAAAAACTTTATGTAATCTATATATTTTCTCAAAAATAACTTTCACAAAAAAGGCATTTTAATTTTATAGCTAGTCAAGAGAATTTTGCTAATCACTCCTGGCTGATCCAAGCATGTTTGGCAAAAACCCATGAAGCTGAAGGCAGAAGGTCAGCTCTGTACAAAAAGCACTTCCTGTGGAAAGCTACTCACTTAATCCCAAGGACGAACTAAGGGCAACGATCAAAAAAGAAAGTGTACTAGAGGACAGGGTTGCTGTTGTAGTCAGTGAGTACCAGCCTGCTCTCCAGACAGCTCTCACCCACCCCCACCCCAGAAGCAATCCCGGAAGTCAGAAAACATGCTGTAATTAAAAGATAACTTCAGTAATAATTTGGGCTAGCCAACTCTTAAATCTAAAGCAAGTGCTTCTCTCAAGCAGCTATTCCTGAATTTAGAGGAAGATAAGTCTCCTCAAACAACACAATAATTTAAACTCTCCCTATTCCAAAAGGCTCAAACACAGATTGGGCAGGAATGATAACTCAACATTAAGCCAGTCCACATTCCAGGACATAGTAGAGTCCAAAGTATTATCTCCTTTGCTACAGACTATGTATGAAGAGGGGCTGGTTACCTGCTGAAAGTCTCTGGGTGCACACACATTGGTTTTATCTCTGAGAAGAGACCCTCTCTTTCTCAGGTTGGCATTTTCTAAGGTCTTAAATAATAAGTATCTATTAAGTGAACAAATGTCTGAATAGCAGAAATGTCCCCTTTTTGGATATTCTTGGTGTTACATTGTATACAATTTCATTTTCTGTGTGCGTGTGAAATCAGCATATTTTAAGCATATTTTAGTCAACTATTAAGTTCAGTTAAACTTAATAAAAGAAAATCGCCACTGCTCAGTACTAGAACTTCAACTGCATTCAATGATATTAGGGCCCAAACTGGGATTCTAGTGATTCCTAAAGGCAGAAAGATACTGGTTGTCATTTTCTTCTTGCATTTCTAAGCAGGTTCTAGGTTGCTTCAGTTTCGTTTCTTCTTTTTTTTTTTTAAGATCGCTTCAGTTTCTCTTTCAGTAAAATAAACTGTCACAGAAGAAAGTGTCTAGAAACAATGCCAGCACATCTATTTTTTCTTAGGAGTAGTTTTTGCTACTATGTAAATTTTCTGACAGTTTATGTTTAGCATTAAACTTACTACTTCAGTCTAAACCAGTGGTTCTTAAAGAGGAGTACACTTGAAAATTATCTAGACATTTCTTGAGTCGCCATGTGCACATCAGGGCCTAGGTTTGTGAGTTTTGGAAATACTGTTTGGGTGATTTAAAATCTGAATATAGCCTACTTTTATATGAAGTCCCAACCTACTGAATTAAAGGTACACTTCAGATCTAGCTTATTTAATGACAATGAAATCTACAAAGGTTTTTGAATCAAGAAACTTTCATGTTCATTACTGGAAAGATCAAAGTTTGCAAAATATTTTTCCTCTGAAGTTATTCAGAACAATGCAGTCTAAGAGATACCTACTTAGTTAAGTTTACCTTGTAACAGTATAGGCAGTTGTGTTGGATTTTACCTACAGCCAGTGACCTGGTTACTAAGTTATACACACCTATGCATTTCAGCAATAGGCTTCCTAATTGGCATTCATGAAAATGTTTTAGGATTTATTCTTGGACAACCAAGAATAAAGGCAATCCTAAAAATGAGTATGTTGGCAGTAAAATCTCATTACGTGCAAGGAGTGAAGCATAAAGTGCCAGTGATTTGGAGAATATAAAAGACCTAGACTCTAGTTTTAATTCCAGCCCCTGTCAACGCTTAACTTGGGCAAGTCTTTTGCCCAAGTCCTCACTGTTCTCCATGTCCCCATGGTAGCTGGGGACCTACAAGGACCCAGATACCTATTCCTCTTCCAAAGTATTATTACACCAAAAATGAAAACACGACATTTTGAATTTTTAGAATTGTACTACATGGATTCAGATTGTTCTTCTTGTAACCAGGATTCAAAAATCCATAATCTGCCATATATTCAACTCTTGCTTCATTCAATTAATGTTTGCTATCCACAACTCCCCCAGGTATTGTGTTCTGGTTTCTATTTTAGTTTACAAAGTATATTTATACATGTATCATTAAATGTTCACAACTCTATTAAGTAGTCACTTTACAGATAAGAAAACTAAGGTTCAGAAAGTTAAGGACTTGCCCAAGACAACATAATCATTTAAATATCAGCTCTACTAAGTCCAAAAGCTCTTGTACTTTCTTATATGTGCAAATAAAGTACCTAGGAATCAGTTTCACTGTCCCATGATATTTCCTGGTGCTTGTGAACACAGGGTACTTGTAACAACTGTACCACTTCTGCCGTCTCCAAAGAGTCTAAGAGGAATTTTGATGATGCTAAAATTACATTCTTTTACAAGGCAGGTTCAGTCCTAGCCAACAGCTTATTCAACTGATTAGGAAGAGAGTTAGATTATGAATAATGAAACCATGTACAAATGTTGAGATTCTGTATCTTTAAAATCAATCAATAGGTATACTTTTTAAGAACACACTCCCCTCCCCAAAAACAATTCACCCCTGGATTTCTTTAAATGCTATCTATTCTAAAAGTCATTTAAGTATATCATGTATACAGAGTAGCTAGACCACATCATATAGAGAACCACAAAATATATTATGGTTCTCTTTTTAGAAATGAAAAAAGTAAAACTTAGAGGGTTAATGTCTCAATAAGTGTATCCACAGTGAAAAATAAGCTAAACCAGGTATCAAAAGAACCAAAGATTAAGGTTCAGGATTTTCAGCCTAGTCTGTTTGCCACTTACACAGCAATGCTTCTTAACAGCTTTGGACTGATTCCTTATCCCTCCTTTTTTTCATACCTCAGTGAGGAAGACCGGCCACATGTGAAATTCCAAAAAGGCAGGAAAGAGGTGAAAAGGGAAGGAAGTCAGGCTTTCTAATACTATCATACTAATATGTAGCTTTGGCATTATTTCTCAGCTACTGAGTTAACAGTGGCAATGTACTGTAGACATTAGGCAGGGTGGGGAGTGAGCAGGAGCATCAGCAGAGGGAGTTTGCCTGGATAGAGGCAGTTCCGATCCTATTAATCCTCCTTGGGGGGTCATTTCAAACCTGTCCGTCTGAGTTTCATCATGTAATTAGCACTCTTCTATAGACTGAGTACCTACTACGCACCAGGCACTGTTAAAGGTCCTGGGAAAATGGCAGTGAAACAGAAAATTCCTTCTCTCTCAGAGCTTACATTCTAGTTGGAATAAAGCAACACAGATGATAAACACATAATATGCAGGTGATGGTATTCAGTAGGCACTAGCCACATGTGGCTATTGAAATTAAAGAATGATTAAACAATCCATTCCTCAGTTTCAGTAGACAAATTTCAAGTCCTCAGCAGCTACAGATAGCTAATGGCAACCATACAGTGGAGTGCAGGTACAGAAATATTTTCATACCTATCACAGAAAGTTCTCTTGAATATTGCTGGGACAGGCAGCAAGAGATGCTGTTTATAGAGTGTTGAGGCAAAGCCTCTCTACTAAGGAGATATTCTGAATACAGACCTCAATGAGTGAGTAAGTATGGTTGCTTAATGAATTAATACTTTCCAAACAAAAGAAAATCAATTATTTCTGGTATGTTGTAAACACATTACTCAGGGACCCTTTCATCATTAAAATTTGGATTCAAGGTTCTTAAAAAAAAATTGGTCCAAGATTTTTGCTTTCTTAGAATATTGCACGGTCCAAAATAAACAGCAACAATTTCATTTTTGTTTTGCAGAGAGTATTACTTCTGTGTGCCGTCTACACCGATATAAATGAACTTATTAAAGGCCAATATTAGAAATAAGGAGAGAACATTTTCCTTTTAGTTCCTTTAAAAGTCAGAAAATTGAATATTTTAAACTCCCTACAGCTATGTTTCCTTCAGACTCTGACATAATTCTAAAGGTTTTTGTCTTCCTTGAAAGCCTGAATTCTCTTTCCCAAATCCACTGAATGCCTCTCAATTTATTAGCATCATTTACTTCCTACATTAGACATGGAAAAATTTTTAGTGATACTTAAGCATATTAGATTAACCAGGTGAACTACCCTACAAAATGAATGTTGTCAATGACCATTAAAGCAATACATAATTCTGAAACAATAAACCAATATATTATTACCTTTCCCAATCAGAAAGTAACATGCTCACCATCTCATATCTTAAATCCCAGGGCTCTCATACACTCCTTGTGGGCCTCAATTAGGTGTCCACAGTGTTCTTCTCCTTTCTCGATGATGCTACAAAAATAAATGAACTTATTATATAACAAGAACATGGTTAAGAGTGATGGGAGTGAGGTAGAACATGAGCCTGGTGGAACGTAGCTGGAGTTAAAAAAAAATGCTATTACACCAAATGGCTGTTTGTTTTTCTGTTTGTTTGTTTTTGACTCTTATAATATTTCTAAGCCCCTAAAGATGTTACAAAGATAACTACTTTTTTGTTAGGGGGGGCGGGGAGAGGGGAACCTGATTCATTCTTTCATTATGCATATCAAATACTGCCTCTAGTTCATATGTAAGGAATAATATCACTCTATAATGAAATAAACTGACTGAATAAAATATTCATGCTCAATGGAAGAGAAAAGGTTTAATTTTCTGCCTGCTATCACATAGGAATTACATTCTTGATTCTTGATTTATCTACATGTACATTCAAATAAATCTACTTGAATCATAAGACATCCAATAACATAAACAGCAAAAAAGATCTGGCGGCCAGGAGAAAACTGATCAGTCCCCCTCATGGTCAAAGAACTTATTATTTGCAAAATTCACAGAGACAAGCTTTATTACTAGGGCCTGCAAAAGTAATTTCATCAAAGAATCAAGTTAAACCAAATTCAATTACAAGAAAAAAACTGATTCCTGACTAGAGATAATTGGGGAGAAGATATGTTGGTAGCTAGTGCAACAGAAATTTAAAGATAGGTAGGTTCTTCTTCCGTTTAAATCCTCCACATCCTTCAATAGCTCAAGGGCAGTCTGCCTATGAGTGACTTCCTGGGATAGTTTTTTATGAAAATAACTAGCATTCCCTGGCCTGTACTGAATGCTGTAAATACCGTGCTAGGCACTTGATGTGGTTTAAATCATTAAACCTCTGCAATAATCCTGGAGGCAAATACTTTTATTAGGCACATTGGAGTTATATGAGGCAGATGTTAAGGAATTTGCTCAAGATCACCAAGTCTTGGGTAGACTCAAACCTTGACTCTGGATCATGATACATCACACTATCAGAAAGTTCAATAAGCACTTACTGTCACTATGGAAGCAATTTCGTTAAAGAAGGTAGTCTTTCAATTCCCCCTTCATAATGTTGGGAGATTTGCAAAATACTAAATATTAATAAAAAGCAATGAACTCCTACACTCTAATGTATTATCCGTAATATGCCACTTATGATTTCTTTACTTTTTATGTGAGGAGGAAAAGGAGCTGGTGGGAAGACTTGTTCCACAACAGAATCCATATAAAGTTCTCCTTTTGCGGAGTGATGGTAATCTACACGTACCATTATTCTAAGTACTGTGAACTTAGAATACACTGTAGTAGACTGGCTGATTTTTAAGTCACCTATCTAAAAAGAACGGGAACTCTTCAGCACCGCCAGGACTGCAAATACTGAGAAGAAACAACAGAAAATGTTTATTTTTTGGTCTCGCCAACATTTTAAACTTCCTTTGGCTATGATTCTGATTCTAAAGATTTCTTGCCTTCCTTGAAAGTCTAAATAGTCCCCCAAATCCACTGAATTCCCCTCGACTTATAAGAATCACTTACTCTCTACATTTGGAATTTAAAAGGCTTTTTCAGTGATACCAAAGCATGTCCATCAGGTGCACTACCTTACAGACTGACTGAATGGTTGCTCATGATCGCTACATCTGCAAAAGATCACAGCCCTTACCACGTGGCATAACAAACATTGGTGTGTCGCCATTAGCGTCAAGTTCTCTTAAGCAATGTAGCACCCTTATGCAGTTCTACGTCTTATGACCCTACACAGTGCTTGACACGTAATAGAGGCTCAAAAAACCTTCAGTAGGGGCACGTGGGTGAAGCAAGTCTGAGTCAATGTGACCCTTCCACCGTTTTCCCAGGAAGAGCTGTCAACAGCCGACCGCCCAGCCTGCGGGGCCCTATAACTCTCGAGCGCGCCGCACAGCAAAGTGGGGAGCTACGACCAGCCCAAGGGGGGGACACAAGCTGCGGAAGGCGGAGCGGGGGCCCGCCGGCCGCCCCTTCCCGGCAGCGCACTGACCACGCATCGCGCGCCTTCTTGGTCTCCGGGCAGGCGCAGCAGGGCTTCAACGGCTTCTTCTCCTGCGACTCAGACGGGGCAGGGCTTGCGGCCGCCAGACCCGGCATGTTTGGCGCCGAAATCAGCGACTTGCTCAGACACCCTAAACTGTGCCAGCGGCGATTCGTTCGCAGTCACTTCCGCAGTCGCTTTGAAAAAGGACAGGAAGTCCCGCCTTCCTCAGACCAGTGCTGGGGGGGGAACAACGCGGGGGAGGAAGAGGAAGTTTTTTTTTTTTTTTTTAAGGCGCGTGCGCAGAAGAGGCTCTAGCATAGCGGGAATGCCAGGGCCCCTTTTTAGCGCAGGCGCAGAGGCGGTGGAGGGGCTCCAGGAGTCTGAAAGGCAACGTGGGAAGAGCTAGAAAGATGAGAGCTGAAAGGCAGTTCCAAGATCCCCCAACCCCACTACTCCCCACGGATGTAAAGAATGCATGAAGGTGAAATGACTTGTCCAAGCTAAAGAAAAACCACTAGTGAAAGCCAGTTTCCTTCAGCAACAAGCCAGTTCCCCTTATTTCACACTGCGGTATTATCAGCCTTGTTCCTGTCTCCCAAGGCACTTCGCTGACCTAGTTAAAAATGAGTTGAAAAAACAATTTAACAAACTAGTCCACAAGTGTTAATCACCCATGCCACTCCTATTCCCCATACAGTTTTTTTTTGTTTTTTTTTTTGTTTTAATTCTCATAGCTGCCTGGGAAGTAGGTTGTTTTGTTTTTTTTTTAATTTAAGATTTACTTATTTATGCATACTAGAGCTGGGGTACAGGCCAGACATGGGGGGGTAGTGGTGAGAGGATTCACCAGAGACAGAGTGGGGAACAGAACAGGCAGACTGAAGTACACTGCTGAGGCAAGCAGCGGGCGAGACAGGAGAGGTCTGCTGCACCATTGTGTTTCTCTTTGGCCGGCCGGATCGAACTCTGCGGATTGCTTCATAGTGCCGTGCTTAACCCCTTGCGCCACCAGGGAGGCCCCCCCATACAGTTTAAATCCTTAGGTAATTGGCATTTTTTTAGCCTCCTTACGAAAGGTTTGATTTCAGCAGGAATTAAATCGAAAAAAATTTCCCCATTGAGATTTGAGTTAGGTAGGTAAGAACTGGTGCCTACATTGTCTGCAGTACAGTGACTATAATATCGCAATTTTTTTTTTTCCCCACAGAAATGATGGAGAAAGGGAATCTTCTTTATCCTGATCCCTGGTTATTACTGCGGGTAAGGACTGGCTTTACTCACAGATAGCAAATTTTGCATGGCTTTTTCACAGACTTCAGGTCGGCTTTGCTCTCTTGGCGGCTCAAGGAGGTCATTTCCAGAACATTTTACAGTGTGTTCCCAGAGTGTAGACCGCTCTTGCCAGTGCCCACTCTGGAAGGCAATTAGGCAGTATCTAGTTAATTACTGTGACTCAGCAATTTTGTTCCTGGATCTATATTCCAAAGAAGTTCCTAGCAAGTCCATTAGGGAACATGTATGGAGATAACTGTCACAGCATTTCTATGTGGCAGACAACTGGAGGCAATCTGAGCATGCATTACTGGGGAGATGGAAAGGGAAATAGGGAACACTGATCACAAACTATAAGAAATTGCATCATATACACAAGTAATGTTGGAGATGGTGACACCAGAGGGTCTTGGTGTCTTGTGGAAAAAGAATTTTAGAAAGTACCAAGTACTGGAGTAAAGCTCGCCAAAGTTTGTTTATTTAGAAGGTAACTGTAAGATAAAGTACTCTGCATAAGGCAGCAGGTGGTCACTGAAAAACTGGAGAACTGCCCAGAGGGTGTAAAGCAGGAGAGTTTTTGTGATCTTTCTTTTTCTTCTGGGGGGGGGGTGTCCCTTTTAATTATGTATGCATGCCTTTGCTGCCTTGCTTGGTCCTGATTCCAGGCTAATTGTAACTGGGGGTAACTGCCACATCAGAGGTCAGAGGTGAAGGAACAAAGACTAATGTCAAAATGGTGAGATGCAATTAAAAAGAAGGTTGTGAAAAGGGTAACTAACCCAGCCAATAATTGCTGTTTAGCTATGGATTGGAGCTGTTAGATAGAATAAATTCGGACTCTTACCAAGCTGCCTGGTCCCAGATCTTATCCAGTCCTTAAGACTAGGCTGCAGCAGCCCTACCTACAATATGGAATGCAGAAATGCAGCTGTGTCTGGGAGTGTGTGAGAGCCCTTTTCTACCCCTAACCATAACAAGGATAAATTTTTAAAATAGTATAGGTAGTGGGAAAAGGATGAGAATAAATAATCAAATATGTGCATATATAAATTTAAAGAAGAATGCAAAATAAAAAATACACATAAGAATACATGCATGAATACCTGTGTTGTATTTGAGTCTATTTCTGATACTTTGTCTCTTCATACTGCTTTTAACTTGCCTTTTAGTATACCTTCTAAATTTGTTTGTATGCCAAATATGTCAGACTGAAATTTGTGTCCCTAGATCATATACTGAAGTTCACAGAATTCAAATTCCATTTAAGATAAAATAAAATTTCCAAAAAAATGGAAACATAAGAAACATACTTTAACATAATAAAAGCCTATAGGTAAACCGCCCCCCCTAAAAAAAGAATACATGCATGAAAAAAAGATTTGCTTTATAATAGAATAATTGCCTGTGAAGGGAGGCAAGTGGGGGTAGAGAATGGGAATAAATATTATTTAAAAAGTAAACTTGTTGGGATCAAAGATGATGTGTCATCTTCAGAGGAGTTTAACTAAATCAATGATCCTCACCTGGAAAACAAGGAATGCCGTGTCAGTTGCACGCCACCAAAGAGTTTGGAAACCATTACTTCATGGGGTGGAACTGGAATTTAATATTGTAATGTCTTCTTTCACTGCAGTTTTAGGTAGTGTGGAACAAAGTAAGTTTTATTCTAAGGGCTTAAGTCATTTCCTTAACTTTGAAGTAAAAATAATCATTTTTTATAAAGAGATATTGTTCTGTGACACGGCCATGCTTATTATGGTCCCTCAGTGGCCAGTATATAGTGGACACAGTGTAAATGCTTTTTACTCAGAGAAATTATTGCCATAGAGCTTTATTTTGCCTTGTTGCTTTATGGAATCTAGAAGTATTCCCTCCTCCACCCCAACAGCTTAAGCAAAGGACAACAACAGAAAAGCAGAAAATGTTTGAACTAATTTTCCCACCATAACTCTTATATTGCCACTGATAATTCTTAATAGAGAAGCCAAATTTTTAAAAAATATGCTCACTGAGAACGTATAAGCAGTTGAAATAACAACAAAATATTTAGCTACTGTATCTTCCTTATACAAGTGAAACTGTTGAGCTTGTGAGCCCACATTTAATCTCATTGCAGCTGAACATATCTAAATTTATAGTTGAGAACACTGAGGTTCAGAGATGGACTTGATGTGTTCAGCATCATATAACTTTGGAAGTAGTGATAGTGTGCAGAAGTTGGAAGTAGTGTTAGTGTGCAGAAGGAGGGACACCCCAGGACCTTCCTCCTTGAGCACTGTGACTGTTGAAAAGCAGAGCAAAAAAATACTCCTTTCCAAAGTGAAATATTTATATCCCTTGCAAATTCTCTTGTTTCAGAATGGTATAGCTAGCCCCAACACGTGGATTACTTTTTCTCCTGCCTTTTGATTTATGAATAAGCAAACTTTAAGGTCAACTATTTGTTTTTACATTAACATCATTTTTTAGTTTTCTTACCCAGCCTAAATGCCTTTAGACCTGTGCGATGCCCTGTCAGTATTAAAGGAAAAGTTGGGATGTAAAACATGAGATTTAGGCTTTCCATTCTATTCCAAGGAAAAATCTCAAGCCTACTTTTCCCATGAAAAACATGAAAATTCCAGAGAGCTGTAATTAGGGATTAAACTAAGAGTAGGAGCATGTGGAGACTAAATAATAAAATAGTGCATTGAGTCATCTGCTTTATAGAGGGAATTCTAAAGTTAGTTTGATTAATAGTTTTTGGTATTAAGTTTTAGCTTCCCATTCTGACTTTAACCAGCAATATTTTACTATTTTATGCCATGGGTTCTTTGTTATTCCAACCAATAAAATGTATAGTTAGCTATAATTGTTACATTGGTAGGCAGCAAGACTTGAAATGGTGATTGTAATGGGCTTTTTTCATAATACAGTTAACATGTTAATGTATGGTACTGAATGGTGATGCTGACTATCAGTGGCATCAAGTAGTTATTCTATGGACACCATAGCAGCCTTGATAAAGTAACAAGTAACAACTAAGGAAATAATTTCTAAACTCCTTCCATGATAAAGGTGATTTTGGTTATTGTTTATGTCTAACTAATCCCAGGTATGTAGACTGGGTAAGGTCTGTAGACCAGGTAAGGATGGGTAGCTGGGGTTGGTAGCGAAGGAGTGACACCATATGCTGAGAGAGAAGAATTACAAGGCTTAAATTTTCATTTGCTTAGTTAATAGGTTCAGAGGTAATTTTGTATAGTATTTGCATTTCTGCCTCTGCTAAAAATAAACAATTCTAATTTCCATAGGTAAATATGTGCTGTATTTCATTTTCTATACCTTTCAAGAACTCTGAGGGATCTGAAATTTTACTCTCTGGCTCGGTTCCATGAATACTGGTAGAAGCTAGCAAACTATTGGGTCAGAGATGAAGGATAATTTATTATTTACAGCCTTTCCTCTTTTACAGGCAGAACACGAGACCCAAGGGGAATTGTCTTCCCACATGGCAAAGCATAACTGATCAAAACCAATATCAAAAGTTTCTATTAAACTAAAAGACCCAGAAACCTAATTTCATAAAGGTTGTATATTAGTTATTTCTTACTGTAACAATATTATCACAAACCTAGTGGAATTACATATTTATTATATCCATTTCTATAGTCAGGAATTGGCATGGTACCATGACTCCTCTGAATAGGGTCTCACAAGACTGTGGTCAAGATTTTGGTTGCGATTGTGGTTTCATCTGAGGTTCTATTAGGGAAGGATATATTTCCAGTCTCTTAAGTTGGCAAAATTCAGTTTCTTGCAGTTGCAGAGCTGAGATATTTGGTTTCTTGTTTGTTCTGGGTTGGAGGCCACCCTCAGCTCTGAGAGGCCACCTGCAGTTCCTGCCACATGGGGATCCTCAACATGGCCACTTGCTTCCTCCCATGATGTTTGACATACAGTATTGGTTAGTGACTTCAAATGTATTTGTAGAGGGGGCAGGCAGTTGGCCACTTCAAATAATTTATCTAATAGAGCAAAAGTCATTCTGAGGAGGGGAGATTTTAGCGGAGAACTCAAAAAGGAGCCAACAGTGAGGCAATGGGGAGTGGGGTGAGAAACATGTCGGGAAGAAGGAACAGAAAGTGGGGTATGTAGCTATAACCACAGACTGAAAAAAAAAATAGCATGTAGCACTGTATTTCATTTGTTTCTGTTTTCTCCAGCATCAGTGGGCTGTACAAATTATCTCAGAATTGTCTACACCTATTACATAATAAATGATACATTTGTTTAATAAATGGCTGGATTTATTAATTCAGGAATCATTTCCTTAAGTTTTCTTGTACCAGATACCTCAGATACAAAATGACCATGTGAAGGCCTGTCCCTTTAAGAACTCACTTTTGTAAGCAGAGGTGCAATCACTGACACAGATGGTCAATGCTATTGATGCTACTATATAGCATTGGAAGAAAGAACAAAATTGTACTCTATTTGGGATATTTTGGGAAACTACATAAAGGTGGAAAATTTAGCCTTTAAGTCTTGAAGGATAACTAGATTAGTTGGGGTTATAAATGGAAAAGCAATTTAGGCAAAGCAATTGACTTGGAGATAAGAAAGTATATGGCTGGTTTGCAAAAACCCCAAGAAATTCAAGGAGTAAAGAAAATAAAATCAGGAGTATATATGGAAAGAGACATAAGAGGTCAAAGGCTTATCCAGGAAGTGGAGTACATCATACAGACAAGCCAGTTCTCAGCTGTGCCACTAAACTGATGTGATAGTTTGAGCATCATAAAGAAAAATAATCATAATGGATTAATATCAGATGTTTAAAAATACATGCATTCAGTGTGATACTAAACACCACAAACTTATAGGTTACCATTGAAAGTTGCTAGAGCAACAACTAATTTCTCTGAAATTTGATAATTGAAAGTGAAAGAATCCTGCATTTATCCAATCTTTCTTCTATAATCTCTGTAAAAGAATCCCCACATAGGTCCTCCCTGGTGGCACAAGGGATTAAGTCTCAGCACTATGAAGCTATCAGCAGCCACTAAAGCACTAGTTCAATACCACCCCCACCCCACAAGGGAGCTAACCCACATGGCCAGGCAGACCTCTCCTGTCTAGCCCACTGCCTCCCTCAGCAGTGTATTTCTGTCAATCTGCCTGTTCTGCTCCACACTCTGTCTCTGGTGAATCCTCTCACCCCCTGCACCTTTGGCCTACACCCCAGCTCTTATATGCATAAATAAATCTTAGAAAAAAAAAATCCCTACGTAATAGAGAATATAGAAAGTATTAAAAATTCACTGTTCTAAGACAAGACTAAGATATACCAAAATGGAATGAGAACCTTTTTCCTATCTTTTAATTGCACCAAATCAGCTATTAAGTGACATCTCGGATTTAACCAGGAAAAACTAAATATGTATTATTAGATGAAATGAGGAATTATTTCGTTACATTTGATAATGATTACGTTTTAAAAATCCGTTTCAGGGCCTCCCCGGTGCAGCGGTTGAGCGCAGCGGTTGAGCGCTGGGTTGCGAAGCTGCCCGCAGCCTCTGCAACGCCAGTTCGATCCCCGGCTGCTCCCAGGTCACCGGAGGAGGGTCCCGCATGGCGCGCAGACCTCTCCTGCCGCCCGCTGCTCCCCTCAGCAGTGTACCTCGGTCCTTCTGCCTGCTCTGCTCCCCACTCTGGCTCTGGTGAATTCTCTCACCCTTCTGTGCTTCTAACTGTACCCAGTGCTTGTATAAATCAATCAATAAATCTTGTATAAATAAATAAATCTTTAAAAAAAATCCGTTTCACCTGAGATGCAGGTTAATTTACCGTAAAACAATATTCTGGGATGTGTTTTAAAATATTCAAAAAAGGGTGCCTATACTACATCACCTTCAATAGATTTAATGCCCAGGGCTCGGTGGATCAAGAGCTACTGATCACCCTGACCACCCTAATGCTGATGCCAGCATGGCTAGAGCTCACACTGTGCCAAGGCACCACGTTCATGAGCATGTATTCCTCAGCATGCAGAACAAGCCCTGCGGGTAAAGGCTATCTGAACTGAAAACCCCAACTATTCTAGAATGTTCTGAGATTGCCTAGGGATTTCTGAGTCTGTGGCGTCTTCTGTAATCACTACTGAATTGGAGCAGCAGGCTTCCCCCAGTGTTGACCCTGAGTGAGGAGCAGGAGCTCGAGGCACCGTCTCTGCAGTGGAGTGCGCGGTGAGGGTGTCGCTACCCCTCTCCTCACGCCCTGCTACTTCCTCTCCTCACGCACGCCTTGCCTTTCTTTGCCTTTCCTTTCACTTCTTTCTGCTCCTCCTCCCTTTCCGCTCCCTGCTTGCTCCTCACGCCCCTCCCTCTGCTCTTCCCCTTCAAGGCAACCTGGGCCGCGCCTCAGCCCACCCCTTCCTTAGCCTCACCCCGCCCCTTTCCACTCAGCCCCGCCCCTTCCGCCTATAGCCCCGCCCCTAAGTCCCGCCCCTAGCGTTTGTTACCATAGCTACAGTGCACAGCGCTGCTAGGCCGGTGCAGTTGTTTCTCTACTAGCCTAAGGGAGAAGAGCCGACACCATGGAGCAAGTAGTGACCGTCGAGACCCAGGACCTGCCACAGTGGCCTCAAGCTCCGAGCGCGGAGAGGCCGGCCCCCTCGGGCAACGTGTCTTCCAGTCGACCTTATGATTTTCTGTACGGTAAGGGAGACCCCAGAGTTCCCTCACAAGTTGTCCACCCCTGGACCAGGTGACTTTGGAGAGTGTGGACCTCGCCAGGGGCGTGGTGAACAAAAGAAAGGCCTCAGGAGCTACCCCTTGCTCGCGGTTGGGGCAGGTGAAGGGTGGGTGGCAGCGCGCCATGCAGGTGGTAGGGCACTGGTGGTAGGGCACTGGTAGCGCTCCTCCGAAGCCTCAGGTGAGCCCTGCGTCTCTGAGAGCCACCTGCGCGGGGCCACCTTACTCTTCGCCACTCTTTTATCCTGATTATTTTCACAGCCCTAGAGATCTTCCTGAAATCTACTTCAGGCCTTTTGGTGTCCAGGAAAGTATGCAATGATGCAGACTTGGGAGATTCACTCAACATTCCCACGTTCAAACTGTATAAAATGCCCAGCCAGGATGACCTTCCTGCCCCCATTCTCTGAGCAAGTCCAAATTTGGCATCCAAGGTAAAGAAGTGCCATTTTATCCCATCTTTTGTTTTAGTTTATTTTTTATTTTAACTTATATCCATCAAAACATGGCATAAAAACTAGGTCCAATGGGTCCTTCAGTGACAGTAAAGCCCAGTTTATTTTAAAACTTTGTCCATTTATGTTCTATCTTTTCTTGTTCTATACATTTTTCTAGCCTTCTCAGCACCTAGTCCAGTATTGGTACAGATGCTAGTGCTTCATAAGTACTTATTGAACTTAATTATAATCAATTAAACATACTTTTTTTTTTCCAATTTTGCCCTCAGTCATCCTAGGCTCTTCACTTGAACCTTGCATTGCTTTCAACCACATCATGTCTCCTCTGGAATGCTTTCTTCTCCTTTGGGTGGAAATCTATAGGTTACCCATCTACTGGTATAGGGCCTATATATTCATTGCTTACCTATTGTGGATAGTGGTTTTCTAAAGTCACTTTCGGTTTTAGCTTATAAAATGAATCTAGTAAATTCCTATAATCATATCACTATGTTTCAAAGGTAATTTGGGAATGGTGATAAATATCTTCAGTAAAGACAGGCAAAGAATTTATTAAACTGGATGATTTTTTAAAATTTTTTTTATTTTTATATTCCCCATACAATTGCAACCCCGATTTTGACCCCAATCCCTCCTTCCCCCCCCCCAAAGAGTGTCTCTTGTTCATAGTTGTTTGTTGATTTTGATTTTTTTCTTTCTTATAGTTATTCTTTTTCCTGGTCCCTTATTTAAGTTTTCTAGATTGCTGCTATGAGTGAGACCATCCGGTATTTTTCTTTTTCTTTCTGGCTTATTTCGCTGAGCATGATCCCTTCTAGCTCCATCCATGTTGCTGCAAATTGCATGTGTTTATCTTTTTTTGAATGCTGAGTAATAGTCCATGGTGTATATGTACCACATCTTCTTGCTCCAGTCATCTATTTTGGGGCATTTGGGTTGTTTCCAAAGCTTAGCTGTTGTAAACAGTGCTGCTATAAACATAGGGGTGCAGGTGTTCTTTGGAATTGATGTTTCTGTGTCCTTTGGGTAAATACCTAGGAGTGGAATTGCTGGATCCTATGGAAGCTCTATCTTTAGTAGGTTGAGGAATCTCCACACAGCTCTCCATAGTGGTTGGACCAGTTTGCACTCCCACCAGCAGTGCAGGAGAGTTTCTTTCTCTCCACATCCTCGCCAACATTTGTTGTTGCTATTTTTTTTAATACGTGCCATTCTCACTGGTGTGAAATGGTATCTCATTGTAGTTTTGATTTGCATTTCCCTGATTACGTGATGTTGAACATTTTTTCAGATGCCTGTTGGCCATTTGTATTTCCTCTTCAGAGAAGTTTCTTTTTAGCTCTTCTGCCCATTTTATGACTGGATTATTTTCTTTGTTTTTGTTGAGTCTCATCAGCTCTTTGCAGATTTTTGTGATCAGTCCTTTATTATTAGTGTTGGGTGCAAAAATGTTCTCCCAGTCGGTGGGGCTTCTCTTTGTTTTGGTTATTGTCTCTTTTGCTGTGCAGAAGCTCTTTAATTTGATGTAGTCCCAGCTGTTGATCTTTGCCTTCACTATCACTGCTTTGGGTGATGTGTTTGTAAAGATGTCTTTGAGGTGCATGTCATGTAGTGTTTCACCTATATTTCCTTCGATATATTTTATGGTTTCAGGTCTTATGTCTAGTTCTTTTTTTTTTTTTTTTAAGATTTATTTATTTATTTATTTATACAAGCACTGGGTACAGTCAGAAGCACGGGAGGGTGAGAGAATTCACCAGAGCCAGAGTGGGGAGCAGAGCAGGCAGAAGGACCGGAGTACACTGCTAAGGGGAGCAGCGGGCGGCCGGAGAGGTCTGCGCGCCATGCGGGACTCTCCTCCAGTGGCCGGGGAGCAGCCGGGGATCGAACTGGCGCTGCAGAGTCTGCGGGCAGCTTCACAACCCAGCGCTCAACCTCTGCGCCACCGGGGATGCCCTTTTGTCTAGTTCTTTAATCCATTTTGAATTGGTTTTTGTGCATGGTGTGAGGTAGTAGTCAAGCTTCATTCTTTTGCATGTAGTGACCCAGTTTTCCCAGCACCATTTATTGAACAAACTTTCTTTGCTCCAGTGCATAGTCTTTGCTCCTTTGTCAAATATTAGTTGACCATAGATCTGTGGGTTTGTTTCTGGGTTTTCTATTCGGTTCCATTGGTCCATGTGTCTGTTCTGGTTCCAGTATTATGCAGTTTTGATTATTATGGCTTTGTAGTACAGTTTGAAATCTGGGAGAGTGATACCTCCATTCCCTTCATTTTTTTTTCAGGAGGGTTTTGGCTATTCGGGGTTTTTGGTGGCTCCATATGAATTTCATCAATATTTTTTCTAATTCTTTGAAGAATGACATTGAAATTTTAATTGGAATAGCATTGAATCTGTAAATTGCTTTTGGTAGGATGGCCATTTTGATAATATTAATTCTTCCAATCCATGAGCAAGGGATATCTTTCCATTTCTTTGTGTCTACTTCTATTTCTTTTAATAGTGTTTTACAGTTTTCTTTGTATAGGTCCTTTACTTCTTTTGTTAGGTTTATTCCCAAGTATTTGATTTTTTTTGTTTCAATAATAAAAGGAATGGTTTTCTTGATTTCTTCTTCTTCAGATTTATTGTTTGTGTATAGGAAGGCTACTGACTTTTGCGTGTTGATTTTGTATCCTGCCACTTTACTAAACTGATTGATTAGTTTAATTAGTTTTTCTGTGTAGTTTTTGGGGTTCTCTATGTATATTATCATATCATCCGCAAATAGTGATAGTTTGACTTCTTCCTTGCCTATTTGGATTCCTTGTATGTCTCTATTGTCTTATTGCTCTGGCTAGGACTTAAACTGGATGATTTTTTATGACTGAAAGTATCTCTCTCTCTCTCTCTCTTTTGTTTTTTTTTTTTGTTTTGTTTTGTTTTGTTTTTGCAGAGGGATTACTAATGTCCCTTGCAAGGAACAAAAATCCACTTAGGTCAAATGAAATTGGATTGTTCAAGTAAAACAGTCTGTTTCACAGTTATTCATGAATAGGACACATAATACAGCTAGGACAGACTAAAACCAGAACAGGGAAGATCAGAGCTAAGGTGCCTCCTGCTGGCACATATTACAAAGACCTTCAACAGCAAGTATTGGAAAGGATATGTTAAAAAGGAACCTTACTATACTGTTGATGGGGGTGTAAACCAGTTCAACCATTATGGAAAGCAATCTGGATTTAGCTTAAAAAAAAAAAAAGGAAATACCATATGACATAGCAATTCCACTCCTGGGCATCTATCCAAAGAATATGAAACCATCAACATAAAACCCCATATCTTCCACAATGTTTATAGCAGCATTACTTACAATAGCTAGGTCATGGAAGTAGCCTAAATGCCCATTGATGGATGATTGGATTAAGAAGATGTGGTATATCCACACCATGGACTATTATATAACTATAAGAAAGGATGAAATGCAGACATTTTCAACAAAATGGAGAGAGTTTAAGAGAAATATGTGTAGCGAAGTAAGTCAGAATGATAAAAACAAACACCAGACATCTATATAGCTAATAATTCAATAATTTAAAACACTGTCAAAAAACCAGTGAGCATCAGTAAACATGCTGAGGCTCTGAAGTTAAGAGGGAGGAGGAGGAAAGGGTATAAGAGGATAAAAGATGGGCCTCCCCTGGTGGCACAGCAGTTGAGTGCTGGGCTGTGAAGCTGCCCACAGCCTCTGCAGCGCCAGTTCGATCCTCAGCCACTGGGCGAGGGTCCCACATGGCGCGACAGACCTCTCCTGCTGTGCCCGCTGAGCCCCTCAGCGGTGTTTTTCGTTAGTCTGCCTGTTCTGTTCCCCGCTCTGGCTCTGGTGAATTCTCTCACCCGCCCAAGCTTCTGACTGTACCCAGTGCTTGTATAAATAAATAAATAAACATTAAAAAAAAAACCAAAGGGGATATAGTGGTGGAATAGTGGTGCAGAAAAAAATTCTTAACACTTGATTATATGAACTATCTCAAAGTTGCAGTGCATACAGCTGAAGAGTTAAATTTTAGAATCAGAAAGCCAGGGTTTAATTCCCACCTCTATCACTGACTAGTTTAAGTCATCTGCACACTTTACCTAAATTCTTTGAAACGACTTTTCTTATCTGAAAAACAGACCAAGTGTGGAATTGTTGCACAGAATAAGTGAATTAGTACAGAGAAAAGTTTGAGACCTGGTTGTTTATTTAATGTTACCAATTATTTTTATATTTAAGGTCATGTATAAAAAAAAGAGATAAAAGAGATCAAGTATGTACCTGAAGGTTGCTTGTGAATTTAATGTCAAATTGGATGATTTTTAAGGGATGGTATAGTCAGTCATGAATAGTCTTTGTTATTTTATAACTATACCTACCAAGGACACACTTATAATAGCAGGACAATGTCTTGAACTTTGGAGAAATAACAGTCCCCTCATCAACAATCTTATAAACCTAAAGGCGAATACTGAAGATAGCTGATATTGTTTATCTCTTGTTAGAGAATAACATTTTGTTACCATGCTTACCAATTCTGGGGTACTATTAAGGTTTGTATCTTCCCTGTATACTGAATGTGATGTTATGCCCAAATTTATTGATTCTTTCACTTGTAAATGGGCATTGTGCATATATACATGGTGTTTCCCCTTGGAGTATTTCTTGAGCTACGCAGACCCAGAAGGTTTGTTTGTAGGAGACAAAAGAGTGTGTTAGGTCTCCTTTTCCATGCCAACTCTACAAGCTGACTTTGGAATACACAGAAAATAAATGCACTAACAGACTGTCCTTGGTGGTAGGGGAACAATGCTATGAATGCCTCAGAGATAAGCAGTGTTTACATTTTCTAATTTGTTGTTCAATTAAAAAATTCTATTGCTTTGTCATTATTTTCAGTCTTAGAATAGATATATTCTCTTTCTTATACTACCTTATTTATTTTTATAGATCCATTGTTTACTGTGTCAAGTGAGAAAGACCACAAAAAGGCAAATGTCCAAGTCACCCTGATTCAAAGCAAACTGGTAGGTCTAATACATCCATAGTGGAAAAGTTACTTCCTCCCTTGAACCCTAACCATGTTTGATCAGATTGACTCGTCACTACACCTCTACTAAATTTTATATTCTACAAAAACTATTTTGCGATGATTATTAGGGAGCATGACATCTGTATATTTATGACCCATAGTGTGGATTAGTTTTAATAGGACTAAAGGACTATAGGACTCATTAGAATCTAATTTAGTTCAGTGGGAAAAAGTAACATATGCCTGTGTTGAAAGAATTCAGGTAATACAAAAGCATATATAGTATGAAATAAATTCTATTCTTAGCTCCTTTCACATAATTAGCCAATGCCATTGGTTTCTTGGGTATCTTTCTAGAGAGAGTCCATGCACATACCAACAACCCTTCTTTCTATTCAGTATATACTGTTTTCTAACTTTTTAAAAAAAGTTTACAATATAAACTTTTATAAGTGAAATGCTTTAGAAAGTCTGATGGTATAAGTTTGTGCTTTTCCTCCCTGCCTCCTTTTCCTAACATTAGAAGAAAGTTCCCAGGTTCCGAACCATGTTCAGTAACTTGATCCATTATCCAAGATATTCTCTGTATTTGAGCAAGTCAGACCCTGTGCCACAATTTATCAGTCGGGAATGGAAGAGACCTGAGGAGAAACACAGAGAAGCTCTTCAGCAACTTGCTGCGTATGTGTTACGTACCTTCAGCTACTGAAAAAATCTCATGTTTCTAATGAATGTTTTTTCTTTTTAAAAAATTTGTATTTGGGCCTCCCTGGTGGTGCAAAGGGTTAAGACACAATCTATGGGGCTGTCCGCAGCTGCTGCAGCACGAGTTCGATCCCCGGCCAGGGAGTTACCCACATGTCGCAGCAGACCTCTCCTGGCTGGCCCGCTGCTCCCCTCAGCAGTGTATTTCATTCGGTCTGCCTGTTCTGCTCCCCACTCTGTCTCTGGTGAATCCTCTCACCCCCCCACACCTCTCGCCTGTGCCCCGGTTCTTGTATACATGAATAGATGGATCTTTAAAAAAAATTAAAAAATAATTTGTATTTATTTTTCTCTATTATTTTAAAAGGTACAATTGTGATCTTCTACTTAGGTAAATTGACCCCAAATTATCTCTCTTAACCCTTTTGAGTAACTCAAGCCTGATTCAGGAGCAGTGGTTATAGATTTATTGATTAGTAGATATTCTTTATTGGTTAGTAGACGTTCGCAAAGGTTGTATGTATGTATGTATGACAACTTGCCACCAAAGGAAGAGGTTGACTGAATTTGTTCATTGATCCATCTTAGAATTTGCAAGTCTATTTTTGGGGAGATTTTCAACATCAGAACCAAATCTTTTGAACACCTTCATCTTTTAATTATTTACATGCTCTATCTTGTATATTAAAAACGAATGCTACCATTCATTTCACTTTAGTGAGCATTTTTGTATGTGGGAATTCATAAATCTTAATTCCTATTTTTTGTTATCTAGTCTGAGATGTAGGTCAGATGCATGTTAGAAAAGACTTTGCTCTTATTCTAAGATGCCAATTATATCTCCTACTTTATAGGTGTAGAAATATTAAATAGAAATTATATTTGGAAATAATACTTCAGATTTGAATAATATTTTTCTGCTTTGTTTTAGAATTGACACCTGTTTTCAGATGCCTGCAGTGTATGAAGATCCTCAGGTTACTGGCAAGAATCGCTATAAATATTTTGAAAGGTAGAAAGTAATTATTAATGAATAGGAACCCTGATATTATTAGAGAGCCTCTTTATAAGAGTAATAACAGCTGTCATTTTTAAGTGCATGAAATATGCAAAGCACCATTTTAAGTGTTTTACATATGTATTATCAATTTTCATAATAGAAATGTAGGATAGGATATATTATCCTCATTTTTTTACCAGTAAAAATGCTGAGACGAGGAGATGAGAAGTAAATTGCTCAAGGTCACATAGCCAGTGACAGAGCCAGGATTCCAGCTAATTCCTCCTGATTTCAGAGGTATTAGATGAAAATAAGAATGCATATTTGAGAACAAAATAAAGTCATCAGACAAAGTGAGATACAGCAGAGATGCCATGACAGTCATGGGAAAATTTTAAAAGTGGACAAATAGGTGATATCTGCTCTCTTTGTGTTAGTGTTGCCAGAATCAACATGGTGAAAGGATTCACTTTGTTTCATTTGTGACTAATACTCATACAATAATAATATACTCAGATAAAATTAAAATAAGACAAGGATTTCCATATAGGTATTATCTGAATTAGAAAAATAGTCTTGCTACATATCTGCATAAGCTTCCTTGAGGAAGTAAATTTATAATCCACATTGTTATTATGAGCAACCTCCTTTTGGAAATTTTATGATCCTAACGTTTTTGCAGTAATGTTAAATTCTTAGTGTACTCAATTCTTAGACATTTTGGTGGGGGCTTTTAAACTTAAATTCTTGGGAATTTTAGAATGTCTCAGGGAACTTGAGAAGTTGCTGGGTGCTAAAGGCCAGCTAAAGCTCAAGCTTTCTAAGGTGTGGCTTGTTTACCATCTGCACAGAAAAATTGGAATGTTCATTAAAAATGCAGATTCATTGGCTCTACCTATATTTGATGAATTTTCCTCGGCTAGACCTGGAGATTTGTATTTAAAGAAGAATCTCCCCACTCCCAATGAGGATTACTCATAAATTGGATAATCAAGCTCACTGATTTTAAGGGAAAATGCTAGAGGTGAAGAAAGCTCAGACTGCACACAATTCAAAAGTCTCACACATTGTGTTTTCCTTTCTCCCCTAGGCCTCTCCTTCCATTTTATGAACAGATGCCATTCAGTATTGTTTTTTCAGAAACCAAGTAAGTAACCATTATTTTAAAACTTTTACCAGTTTATTTATTGTATGCTTCCAAATTTGTCTGCAGAAGATAGTTCTCTCAATTTTTTAACCTGTGGATCACAACCCATTAGAAGGTCATGGAATTTTCTAGTAGTTCATAAGCAACATTTAAAAAAATGAACTAGAATAGAAAATAATTGAAAGCATTAGACATATTGAGGGTAAGTTGCTTTTTACTTATAACTTTTCCTTTGGGTAGATATATACATATGTTCATATGTATATTGTAGGAATGATGTAAGATATACTCCTTTTAATGGTATGGTTTTCACTCAAAGATGATATAAATATTTTCCTATGTTTCTGTTAGTTCCTTATAGTTTTACTTTCACATTTAATATTTTAAAATATCTGGAGTGATTTTTTTGTGCAACACACGAGGTGACTTCTACATGATTAGTCAAGTGATCTCAGGGTTAATTATTGACTCATCTATTCAGAAAAAGGATTGGTTTTAAAAAAATCAGAAAACATCTCTTTTTCTTTTCTACTGTTTTTCTGAAGGGAAGCAGCTAAAATTGGGTGTGTAACAAAAATAGGGAAGAAAGAAACCAGGGAATGTAGCTATCCTGAACAGGTTCAGAAGCAATTGCCTGATACCTTAGGATGCCCCTTTTATAGCTCTGTGCCACAGGCCTTCCCAATTATACACAGAAAGATAGGCACTTTGGTGAGTAGACATATGTTTTTAATACTCCTTCAGTTTCTCAGCAGAAGTAAGAATAAGGTAATTTTCTCAAGATTATTGGGTATAATCCTGCCTACCAGATAACTAACTTTGTGCCTGTGAATTTTTGAAGGATAAGTGGACTTAGTGAAGCTCAAGGACTTATTTCTCCTTGATTGTATAGCATTATAAGTGATTATATCAGGTCTTAATTTTTTAAAATAATTTTTTTAGGGTTGCACCATATGCTTTTCTTCCTGCTCCTGCTCCGTACCCACCCATCCTTATGAAGTCCTCAGTGGGCACTCAGACTGATTATCGGGATGCTGAAGTTCAAACAGATCCGTATTCTCCAGAATATGTAATATGTCAGGACTCGATCCCTGAGCTCTTGACTCTGGCTACTCTTACTTGGGGTGAGTTGGTAATTCTCTTAAGCATTCGCAGATGACAGTCCTCATAACCATGTGTGCTACTTAGTTCCTGGAAATGACACACATGGAAACAACAGTGGTTTAAAATGTTGATATTTAAAATATCTTGCTCAGCAGAGCTACTTCATAGATTCATACTTGTTATAATACTTTTGTTCAAGGAGTGAGAGTTAGGCCCTTTTCACTAAGAGGGGGTTTATTGTGCTCCTGAAGCTGAAGTTTTATTTCAACTTAATTTCGTTCTTGTTTTGTTACACCTACCCTCTTGATTCCTACTTTACAACACAAACCAAAATCAGTCTCAGATATAAAATATTTTATACCTTTAAGCAATTATAATCCAAGTCTCTGTTCCCAGTATACCCATACCGATGCAAATTAGCACCGTTTTTTCCCAGAAAATATACTAAAGCAACAAGAACAACAAAACTCTCAGAAATTTCATTTTCAGTGTATCTGAGAGATTTATATATGTGCATGTGTATATATATGTATACATATATGTATATTTATAATCTGTAAACTTTGAAATTTTTATTTGTAGCAGTTGAGATTAGGTAGAAGCTAGTTGGGGACAAGTGAGGAAGTGTGTCTGTGAGGAAGGATCAGGAGAATCTCAGTGGGCTTGAGCAAAAAACATTTGGCAATATCCAGAAAAATTTTAAGTAGTTGTTAGCATATAAAAACACAGCTGATATTTGTATGTTGACTTTGTGTCTTGTGATTTTATTGATCTTTTACTAGATCTAAAAATTTTTTTTGTAAAATCTTTAGGGTTTTCTGTATAAAAGTTCATGTAATTTGTAAATAGTGGCAATTTCACTTCTTCCTGTCCAACTTGGATGCTTTTTATTTCTTTTTCTTGTCTAATTGCTCTGGCCAGGACTTTCAGTGATATGTTGAATAGAAGTGATAAGAGTAAGCATCCTTGTCTTGCTCCTGATCTTAGAGGTAAAGCTTTCAACTGTTTAGTATTCAGTATGATATTAACTTGTCAGTGTCATTCATTTTTTTCTTTCACAACTGTTTTTATTAGAGAGGAGTATAGTGTAGTGCATAAAACCACAAGGGTCAGATTGCATTGTTCAAATCCTGATTTCCACAGCTTATCAGCTGTGGCCTTCTGCAAGTAACTTTGATATTTCTTTTTATTTCACAATATACATTTATCAAATACAGAGTATTCCAAGCTGTCATTTTTCAGTAATCTCATAATGTTCTTCACAAACCTATTTTCATCTTATACACAACTAAAATGGTCCTCTGTCTGAATTATTAATAGGAAGCAGTACAGGGCACAGTTAACAGGCTGTGAGGCACATCTGAAGGATCTTTCCTAATATCATTTCATCTTCTCATAATGTTTGAATTTAAAAAGGACAGGAACTGAAAGGGAGTAGGTTATATAATGATAGGTGTATGAGTTTGTCAGTATATTTCTAACATGTTTTTTGCATCACCCTTCCTGCAGGTCGTGGTCTCCCTGCAGGACAAGCTGAAATAGAGATGATAGAACGAGCCCGGGAGAAGCGTGCTTGGGAAGCCACTCTTCCATCTCTGAGTGACACCTCCCAGTTTGAGAAAAGGAGGAAGATGATGGATGCAATGGAGAGGAAGGAATGGGCCTTCAGAGAGCAGGAAATTGAAAAGTAGGTTCTTAGTCACTTAGACAACTCATTTTATCTGTACAGTGTTTTCCCAAATGTATAGGTTTAAAGTAATCCTCAACCTGTAAGGACAAGAAATCGGATTTCTGGTTCCTTCAAAAACAAAAACTCCAAATTTTCTCACCAGTAGTACAAAAATGTATAATGCCCTCTTTGCATGTAAAGTTCAACATGGAACCCAGATTTGAACAATTTCTCAAGACATCTCTGACACTTCCCCTTTTCTGTAGTATCTAATCTAGACTGTCAGAATTCCACTGATTTCTGAAAAATGTCCCCTTCTTGTCATTTCCAGTGCCACTACCCCTGGGCCTTGGCCCTATTTATATCCTTCCAAAAGTTTCCTCACCAACCCCATCTCTAATCTTCCTGGTGCTGGATTCACAGTCAGGACACTTAAAAGTTCTATCTACAGTTAATGGGGGCATTTCCAAATTGTAGAATTCTTTAATCAACAGAGAACTCATAGCATCTAAATAACAATATGCTTCAGGGCCTCCCCAGTGGCGCAGCGGTTGAGCTCTGGGTTGCGAAGCTGCCCGCAGCCTCTGCAGTGCCTGTTCGATCCCCGGCTGCTCCCCGGCCACCGGAGGAGGGTCCCACATGGCGCGCAGACCTCTCCTGCCGCCCGCTGCTCCCCTCAGCAGTGTACTTCGGTCCTTCTGCCTGCTCTGCTCCCCACTCTGGCTCTGGTGAATTCTCTCACCCTCCCACGCTTCTGACTGTACCCAGTGCTTGTATAAATAAATAAAAAATAAATCTTTAAAAAAAAAAAATATTAAAAAAAAAAAAAAAACAATATGCTTCAGTACTTCTGGTTGTTTTCAATTATTTTAACTGATATATTTTAGTAATGAATTTGTCGCTGGAATATATAGAAGTGATGAGATCCAACAAGTTACAAGTCCCTAGCAAGAAAGAAAGGAAGGGAATTTGTGGAGGTTGTCCTTTGTTCCAGGCTGTGCTTGTAGCAATGCTACCAGGGCCCCTGGCAGTATGCTTAGACACTAAAAAGTTAGGAATCAAAAAGTTAGGGACTCAGGTTGGTTCTGAATTCAAAATATGTTTTTCTTTGTCAACATCATCTGATTGACAGTGAATCCAGATGTTGTGACCATTTTGATGAAAGTTTGCAGTTTGGCAGAAAATGGTGTTTGGAGCAAAAATCCTGTCTCTTGAAATTTAAATTTGTTGCTACAATTTGGAGAGGTATATTCTTGTGAGAAGGATTAATAATATTTAAAATGCTTCTGATCAGAATGAAGACATCACCTGAGAAACTGAGTACTTTTTAAGCTGAGGATAATTTTAATAAATATATTTTGAGTCCCTCCTTTGTGCTGGATTCTGTGCTGTGAGTAAGGGAAAAAGGAATGAGTAGGAAATTTCTGTGCACAGACAGAGCTTCTCCTGGTCCATTGGGGCAACAGTGGGGGAGGTGATGGGACAAAACTTTCAGACTAACAACTCTCAGACTAACACTTCTCTATATACATAAAGCCAGGGAAATGCAGTTGAGAACAATTAGTTCTGATTGAGATAAATGGAAATTTGGGGAAAGTAAAGAAAGGGGCTGCCTCTGATCTGGATGTTTAAGTGTGACTAGAAGCTGTCAGGTAAATGATAATATCAATGATGATGACATTTTTAAAGCATGTAACACATACAGAGTGCTTACTATATTCTGGACAGTGCTCCAAGTCAAAAGTGTGGCCCAAAGACCAGCACATCAGCATTAGATGGGAACTTGTTAGAGTTGCGGATTCTCAGGCCCCTTCCCGGACCTGATGCATCAGGAGGTTGGGACCCAGCAATCTATATCATAACAATCCCTCAAGGTTATCTGATGCATGCTTGAGTTTGAGAACTACTGTCTAAGGACCCTTTATCCCCCATCGTCCCCCTGGTCCACTGGGAATAAGTGTGCTGTTATTTCTTCTCCCACAGTCTGCTGTTTATCTGTCTGTGTGGTAAGTACGGGTTAATAGGTGTCTGTTCCTTGCCTTGACATATGGCTAGCTCCTAATAAATATTTGACAAATAAGTGACTGAATACATTTTTTGACTGAATAAATTAATGTATGAATTTTTAAGTAGGAGTAAAATATTCAAATCTATTTTAGGAAGGAAAATCTTGACAGCTGTATAGAGCAAGATAGGAACCAGGAGAGATTAGACTAACAAAAGTCCAAATTAGGAGGGAGTGACAAAAACATGAGCTAGGGGGTGGATGCAGAAGTGTTTCAGAGGAGCAGTCATTGGAAGAGGGGAAAAGATAGAAGAGAAGCTATAGATTTCCGGAGGAACAAAATGAGTGGGTTATTTTGAGGTTGCGATAGCTGCAGATATAAGTAGACAACTCTGGTTCAGAACTACCTAGGCTGGAGGTACAGATTTTGAGGTCATCTGTACACGGTTGTATACCTATTAGCAAAGTAGCCTTGGGACAACAAGGTGATGTAAGGGGAAAGAAAACAAATGTGCAGACACCAACTTTTTTTTCACATTCCCTGCTTAAGATATGGTGCCCCCACCGCACCTTCTCTTTACTCTGCCTATTATTTCATCCTCCAGTAATACCAGTCAACCTGCAACTGTGCACAAACATCTTGTTTATTTAGGCCGATCCACCCCATCTACCTGGTATACTCTTCTTCATCCTTTAGAACTATACCCATACACATTCCTGTTATATAGAGACTTATAATTGTGGTGCCTCCCGTATACCTCCAATTCATCTGTCACATTTTTGTTAGAATGGTCATTTTTTATTGTTTGTTTGTTTGGGTATAATTGTCATATAACATGTTAGATGTAAACATAATGATTTGATATTTATATATTTTGCAAAATGATCACCATAGTAAGTCTAATTACTGTCCATTGCCACACAAAATTATAAAACTTTCTTTTTCTTGTGAGAAGAACTTCTAAGATCTAGTCTCTTAGCAATTTTCAAATATGCAATACAGTATTATTAACATTAGCCATAGGCTGTGCATCATATCCTCATGTCTTAACTTACTTTATACCATTTGACCCCCTTTGTCTCCCCACTCTGGCAACCACCAATTTGGTCTCTATATATGAGCCTGATTTTTTTGTTTTTGTCTTTTTTACATTCTACACATAAGCATATACTATATGCATATAGTATTGGTTGTTCTCTGACATTTCACCTAGCAAAATTTCCTCGAGGTTCATCCGTGCTGTCACAGATGGCAAGGTTTTATTCTTTTTTGTGACTAAATAATATTCCCTTGTATGTGCATACATATATGTGTGCACATGCACACACATACACTACACTTTCTTTATCCATTCATCCATTGATGGAAACTTAGTTTGCTTCCATGTCTTGGCCATTGTAAATAATGTTGCATTGAATATGGCGGTGCAAATATTTTTTTCTTTGGATAAATACCTAGCTGTAGAATTGCTAGATCATATGGTAGTTTTGCTTTTAATTTTTATTTTAAGATTTATTTATGCGTTTAAGAGCTGGGATGCAGGCCAGAGGCATGGAGGTGAGAGGATTCACCAGAGACAGAGTGGGGAACAGAACAGGCAGATTGACCAAAGTGTACTGTTGAGGGGAGCAGTGGGCAAGAGAGGAGAGGTCTGCTGCACCATGTGGGCTGCTGCAGGCCAGGGGATCGAACTCGTGCTGCAGAGGCTGTGGACAGCTTCATAGGTTGCATCTTAACCCCTTGTGCCACCAGGGAGTCCCTCTGCTTTTAGTTTTTTTTTTTAAAGATTTATTTTATTTATTTATGCATAGAAGAGCCGGGGTGTATGCCAGAGGTGTGGGCTGTGAGAGGATTCACCAGAGACAGTGGGGGGAGCAGAACAGGCAGATGTACTGAAATACACTGCTGTGGGGAGCAGTGGGTGAGACAGGAGAGGTCTGCTGTGCCATGTGGGTTAGCTACCTGGCCAGGGATCGAACTCATGCTGCAGTGGCTGCCAATAGCTTGATAATGCTGAAACTTAACCCCCTTGAGCCACCAGGGAGGCCCATGCTTTAAATTTTGAGGAAATTTCATACTGTTTTCCATACAGATTGCACCAATTTACACTCCTATCAATAGTGCATCATGATTCCCATATTCTTGCCAGCATTTTCTCCACATCCTCACCAACCCTTGCTATTTCTTTTCTCTTGGATAATAACTGTTCTCTTAGGTGTAAGGAGCTATCTCATTAGGGTTTTGATTTACATTTCCCTCATGATTAGTGATTTTGAACATCTTCTCATGCACCTATTGACCATCTGTATGTCTTCATTGGAAAGATGTTTATTCAGATCCTGTGCCCATTTTTCAATTGGGCTATTTATTTGCTATTGAGTTGTATGAGCTCTTTATATATTTTGGATATTAACCCCTTTTCAAACATGATTTACCAATATCTTCTCCCATTTAGCAGGTTATCTTTTCATTCTGTTGATGCTTTCTTTCACTCTGCAGAAGCTCTTTGGTTTGATGTAATTCCACTTGTTTATTTTTGCTCTTGTTGCTCACAGTAGTCTTTTTAAAATACATGAATATGATATCAGTCCAAAGAGAAGATCCTGTTTATAGCAGGTGTTCCTTTTTTCTTTAGTAGAACAGTCTGTTTGAAATATATATATTTCTTTATGTTTTACCATGTACTTGAAGACTACAGGAGATTCGCCTGGAAGTTTTAAAAGAGCTGCTGAAGAAGCGTGATGAGAATCAAAATGAAGTGAACATGAAACGCTTGAATGCCCAATGGTCTAAACTGCAGGAAGCAAAGGAGGCGAAAGTGGCTAAAATTCAACACAAACATGTATCAGGTAATGGTGTTAAAAAAAAAAAAAAAGAGAATGGAAAAAAGGTATTTACTTTGGATCTTTGACCAAACCTAATTTAACTATGACATAATTCTTTTTTGATCCCAGTGTTACCAAATAGGTAAGGGATGGGAGATGAGTTATTTCTCAATGGTGGAAGAATAGAAGGAAATCAAGTGATCATGTTCTAACATGCAGTTAAGTTGTTGAGATTATGGGGTGTGTGTGTGTGTGTGTGTGTTTAGATTTTGGTCTCTCCACATTCATTTCTCAGCCTTTTTTTCATTATTGCCTCCTAAAAGAGACATCTTATTTCCGACTTCACCCACTTCCATGAAATTTTAATATTAAAGATATGCAGTATATTTGTTTATGTACTATAAATATCTTTATATGTGAAGAGAAGTCAGTGGAGGATTAAGAATGACTAAATAAATATTTTAAATTTAAGTTAAAAATTCTCATTTATTAGCATTTAATGTGATAACTGTATTTGCTGATTAGCTTATAACTTAATTACTTTAAAAATGTAATATAACTTAATTACTTTAAAAATGATATAGTAATTATATATATAAATTATCAATTTATATACACATTTAAGAATAGTAATGTAATCACATTTAAAGTAATTTAAACTGTTCATTTTTAAAGCACATTTTTTTAAAATAAATTTTATTTTTATATTCCCCATACAATTGCAATCCCCTTATTTTGACCCCAATCCCTCCCCTCCCCGACCCCCACCCCCCATAGAGTGTCTCTGGTTCATAGTTTTTGGTTGATTTTGATTTTCACTTTCTTATGGTTATTCATTTTCCTGGTCCCTTATTTAAGTTTTCTAGATTCCTGCTGTGAGTGAGACCATCCGGTATTTTTCTTTTTCTTTCTGGCTTATTTCGCTGAGCATGATCCCTTCCAGCTCCATCCATGTTGCTGCAAATTGCATGTGTTTATCTTTTTTGAATGCTGAGTAATAGTCCATGGTGTATATGTACCACATTTCTTGCTCCAGTCATCAATTTTTGGGCATTTGGGTTGTTTCCAAAGCTTAGCTGTTGTAAACAGTGCTGCTATAAACATAGGGATGCAGGTGCTCTTTGGAATTGATGTTTCTGTGTCCTTTGGGTAAATACCTAGGAGTGGAATTGCTGGATCATATGGGAGCTCTATGTTTAGTAGGTCCAGAAATCTCCATACAGCTCTCCATAGTGGTTGGACCAGTTTGCACTCCCACCAGCAGTGCAGGAGAGTTCCTTTTTCTCCACACCCTCACCAACATTTGTTGTTGCTAGTTTTTTAATATGTGCCATTCTCACTGGTGTAAGATGGTATCTCATTGTAGTTTTGATTTGCATTTCCCTGATCGCAAGTGACATTGAACATTTTTTCAGATGCCTGGTGGCCATTTGCATTTCCTCTTCAGAGAAGTTTCTTTTTAGCTCTTCTGCCCATTTTTTGACTGGATTATTTTCTTTGTTGTTGTTGAGTCTCATCATCTCTTTGCAGATTTTTGTGATCAGTCCTTTACCATTAGTGTTGTGTGCAAAAATGTTCTCCCAGTCGGTGAGGTTTCTCTTTCTTTTTGTTATTGTCTCTTTTGCTGTGCAGAAGCTCTTTAATTTGATGTAGTCCCAGCTGTTGATCTTTGCCTTCACTATCACTGCTTTGGGTGATGTGTCTGTAAAGATGTCTTTGATGTGCATATCATGTAGTGTTTCACCTATATTTCCTTCTATGTGTTTTATGGTTTCAGGTCTTATGTCTAGTTCTTTAATCCATTTTGAGTTGATTTTTGTGTATGGTGTGAGGTAGTGGTCAAGCTTCATTCTTTTGCATGTAGCAACCCAGTTTTCCCAGCACCATTTATTGAACAAACTTTCTTTGCTCCAATGCATAGTCTTTGCTCCTTTGTCAAAGATTAGTTGACCATAAATCTGTGGGTTTATTTCTGGATTTTCTATTCGATTCCATTGGTCTGTGTGTCTGTTCTTGGTCCAATACCATGCAGTTTTTTTTTTTTTTTTTTTTTTTTTAATTTTCTAGAGGCATGTCTTATTTATCTATTTGTTTGTTTGTTTGGTTTTATACATGCACTGGGTACAGTCAGAAGCCGGGAGGGCGAGAGAATTCACCAGAGCCAGAGCGGGGAGCAGAGCAGGCAGAAGGACCGAAGTACACTGCTGAGGGGAGCAGTGGGCGGCAGGAGAGGTCTGCGCGCCATGTGGGACCCTCCTCAGGTGGCCGGGGAGCAGCCGGGGATCGAACCGGCGCCGCAGAGGCCGCGGGCAGCTTCGCAACCCAGCGCTCAACCGCTGCGCCACCTGGGAGGCCCGCAATACCATGCAGTTTTGATGATTATGGCTTTGTAGTATAGTTTGAAGTCTGAGAGTGTGATGCCTCCATTCCCTTTTTTTTTTTCAGGAGAGCTTTGGCTATTCGGGGTTTTGGGTGATTCCATATGAATTTCATCAATAATTGTTCTATTTCTTTGAAGAATGCCATTGAGATTTTGATTGGAATAGCATTGAATTTGTATATTGCTTTTGGTAGGATGGCCATTTTAATTATGTTTATTCTTCCGATCCATGAGCAGGGGATGTCTTTCCATTTCTTTGTGTCTTCTTCTATTTCTTTTAACAGTGTTTTATAGTTTTCTTTGTATAGGTTCTTTACCTCTTTTGTTAGATTTATTCCCAAGTATTTGATTTTTTTTGTTTCAATAATAAAAGGGATGGTTTTTTTGATTTCTTCTTCTTCAGATTTATTGTTTGTGTATAGGAAGGCTACTGACTTTTGCATGTTGATTTTGTATCCTGCCACTTTACTGAACTGATTGATGAGTTGAATTAGTTTTTCTGTGGAGTTTTTGGGGTTCTCTATGTATATTATCTTTAAAGCACATTTTTAAAAATTCAAATTATTATTGTCCTAGCAGAAGTAAAGCAATTGCAAAAAAATAAGTTAATTTCTTAAAAGCTATTTTTAGTAAACTTTTAACTTTTCCTTGATGTGATTAAATCACTCCTAACTAGCTGCTGGCTATACATTTGTATTCTGTCAATATTTATTTTTATGGATAAATGATAACATGTAAACCCTTTTTATTTAATCTTAAAACCCCACATCATACACAGAAGCAGTGAGGATTAAACATAAACAATATCCACAAGGCAGCAGTGGAAGCTGCCTTGCAAGTGGCTCTTGCAATGTGACTTCAAATCTTGAAATATGATTTTACACTCATTGAGAGTCGCAGTGTAGAACCTTCAAATGGAAATGGGTCTGGATAGGATTGAAATGAAAGGAGGAGGAGGTGGTCATAAGCATGACTCCTGATGTGAGTACACTCGTAATATGCCCTGCTTAACCTTCTCCCTCTGATTGCCAAACAATTCCAAAAGCTATAAACTGGGATATATTCTGGTTATAACCAAGATGAACAGAGATTATTAAAGAACCTACAGTCTTTCTTCCCTTTTAATTATTCTCCTAGGAGAGAATAGTTGTCCTATCTCCATTGAACTTGTATTTCATAGTTCTTTTGAGTTTCTCTCATTCATTTAACAAACTTTTAATGAATTCCTCTTCTTGACCCAAACCTTAGAATGCAGTTGAGAGATTTTTAATTAATAACAGTTGAGGACACTTAAAGATCCAGCTTCTGTCACTTCCTTCAGCCTATTTCATGACAACCCAGGCCACACAGATAACAGGCCTCTGTTTTCAGTGTTAATATTCTGGCTACACCGAGTGATGACCATGAAAGTTATACAGTTCAGTAGCTGCCCTGTGAATGAAACTGAAACTGGTTTACTCTTCTGCGTTTGGAGCATTCAAAACAAAATTTTGGAGACAGTCATGGTGGTATATTTTATTTTAGCAATCAGAAAACTTGTGGCAAAGGGAAAGAATATAGAAGGGAAGTTGGAGAGACGAAATATCATCAAGGATTATACTGATTATGCATCGCAGGTCTATGGACCTCTGTCTCGCCTCGGCCATTTCCCAGACAACAACTCAGAGGAATTTGTAGTGAAAAACCACTATCTCAACACCTATGAAGGTAAGCTATTTACATAATTACAAATAAGAGGGTAACTTAGAAATATAAATGATAAATGGATAAATGGATAAATAAATCTTAAATCTAGAAATTTAAAGACTAAATGACAGATACAAATATTTTCAAGAAATAGCAAACACGTTGAATGTTATTCATCAAGTAATTTATACAAACAAGTAAAAACTACTAACAAATAAATAAATGTGTATACTATTCAACAGTTTAATCAAGGTGTATAGTCAACAATCAACATTTGAGAGTGTTTAATGACACTAATAATCAAAATTATGCAAAAATAAAATAGAAAAAGCATTTATATTTGATTATGAAATAAACAAGAAATATATCATGAAGCCAGCCCTTGAGGAGAAATGCCAGAAAGCTAGGGGGCAACAAGGGACTGGGTGGCCAGGGATACAGTTATGGAGAGGGAAATACCTATTATACATGCCAAGAGAGGCTTATTTAAATTATTTAAATTTCACTTAACAAGTTGAAGCATCACATAGCCAAGATCATGAGTTGAAGACCACACTGTTGAACTTGTAGCTCTGACTGACCTTCTTCAGAGCAGTGAGTATATACTTACTGTGGAATGGTGGTGCCTTGTATCACACGACTATCAACTTTCTATTGACTATTATTGTGAAATTTATTCCTTTTTTGTAGGACAGTATTCATTTTTGGATGCATTTCTCATTTTACATACTAAGTTACTGAAAAGATGATATAATTATATAGAAATTTGCTTTTCAGTTTGGGGACAATTCAATTATATAAGATACAATTTAGCAATAATTCCAAATGAAACCACTTGGCTAACAGTTACTAAAATTAACAATAGGACATCCCCCCACCCTCACTGGTGGAGCAGACGGTTGAGCACAGCACTGTGAAGCTGTCCGCCACTTCTGCAGCGCTGGTGATCCCGGCTGGCCAGCGAGAATCCCACATGGCACGGCAGACCTCTCCTGTCTCACCGCGGCTCTCCTCAGCAGTGTATTTCAGTCAGTCTGCCTGTTCTGTTCCCTGCTCTGTCTCTGGTGAATCCTCTCACCCTCCCATGCATCTGGCCTGCACCCTGGTTCTGGTACACACGAATAAATAAATCTTAAAAAAAAATTAAAAAAAATAAAATTAACGATATACTTTCAAAATGGTAAATTTAAGTGCCAGATAGTAAAAACATGTACTTCTTCTCCACAGGATTAGTTGAACTTGAGTCATGTCTCCCAGATTTTGTAACACAACCCCGAATCAAACCTCCAAAACCCAAAGTCACAACTACCAAAACTGGTTTCCTAAAGAGGGCGGCAAGGATGGACCATGAGTTGGCAGAAGTTCATAAGGTATCATCTTTAGCTGGAAGATAAAATGCTTCTTGTGGGACTTTTGCAGCAGGTACTGCACTCTAAAGATTACACTTTGTCTTGGGCAGCAGTGTCCCATGGTTCTCAACATCTAGCCCTACATTCTTTCTCCCCTCTAGACACACTTACAGTCTGTACTGTGTTCATTAAGTGGTTAACTTATCCTTAAGAATATCGTAGCGACTTTCTCAAAGTCTCTGAGCATAGCCATAGAGGATATCTTATTGATGTTCTGATCTGTAGTGTCGCAGTGGGGGAAAATAAAGATGAGAACTGACATTAGTTGGTGTTACTTCAGGCACTGTTGGATAAGAAGAATAAGGTTCCTGAACCAAGTAAACCTCTGCGCTTTCTTCAAAGAAAACCAATACCTCAACCTCGGCTTCCAACCCCAACTTTGGAAATGAGTTCCAATGTAAGTATGAAACGTTTCATTTGAAACGCTAAATTCAATATTGCTCTCAGTTTATTCTTCAGATAGTTTGGGTTCAAAACAAACCTAATTTAATAGTGTTAGTTTCTCAAGATCTCTATTTGTTGCCATTATTCTTATGTCTCAAACATTAAACACACACAAAAGCCTACAAAATGAAATGAAATCTAAGCCCAAATTCTTTTCAAGAATAAAAACACAATGCAAAAACAATCTTGGGCCTTCCTGGTGGCACAAGGGGTTAAACATAGCACTGTGAAGCTATCCACAGCCTCTGCAGCACAAGTTCGATCCCCGACCAGCCAGGGAGCTACCCACATGGCGCAGCAGACCTCTCCTGTCTCACCTGCTGCTCCCCTCAGCAGTGTACTTTGGTCAATCTGCCTGTTCTGTTCCCCGCTCTGTCTCTGGTGAATCCTCTCACCCCCCTGCACCTCTGGCCTATACCCCAGTTCTTGTATGAATAAATAAATAAATCTTTGAAAAAAAAAAAGAAAAAAACAATCTTCCCAAGAAAAATGGGCATCAGAAGGTAATCTACACAGATGTCAATAAAATAAGAAGATGAACTGATGACCAGTTACCATCACTATCTTCCCATGCTGGGAGGTGGCTGCTGACAGCCAGAGTCGGTGAGGAAAGAGACACTAGAGGTGACACCAAGCCAGGCTGGCCTCTGAGGGAGGGCTCACTCAGAGTCACCCTGACCAGGGCTAGACCTTCACCTATACATCCTCAGACTCAGTTGGGCAATGTATCAGTCAGTTAGGACTTAAAGGACTGACTAAGACTAAACAAACATAGAGGAAACGGCTAGAGATGCCACAGCGTATTTGTTGTGATGAAAAATGTATTTACAAAAGCAGTTGTAAAGGGGATGTTATAAGCCTGTGGATCAGGATATTCCTCTTGTCGGGTTAGCCCATGAGCTCCCAGTATCGGGCAATTTTTACAAAAGCCAAATTGTATTCAGCGGTTTGTGGGACTTTGCCAGAAGGAGGGAAATCTCACTAATGCCTCTGATAGATCACCTCTATGGAGGTTCTGGAATGCCCCCACAGACTGGACAGCACCCCCCTTTCTAGACTCTGTGCTGACCCCTCTTACATATGTTAATATCACTATACGACTGTTGCTTTCTTTCGCATTCAGAGGCAACTTAATTTGATTTGCAGACTGTTCTTTTGCTTTTTTCACATAGTTATTTAAGGTGATTTTTGTGAATGGCTAATCTTACCTATTATATTCTGACTTTACCAGCTTAGCTAAATGCTTCCGAGACAATCTAGACTCTGTCAGACTAGCAGTATTCTTTGCTCATGATAATATATGAATAACATTTGCAAAAGGGATGATATAAGCAATACTTGTTTTGGAAAAGATTTTGCTGAAAAGGAGAATAGAAGTATAAAATACAAAAATGACTTAATTTATAGGTATTACTGCATGACAGTGGGTGAATTTTTTGCTTTTGATATGATTTGTTAATGATATTTATGATGAAAAATAATAAATATTAATGGTGCAGCAAGTGACATAAAATGCTATATGTTCAGTGAGGGTGGGGATAGTGTTTTATTTCTCTTTAAATTGTTCTGGTAACTAGCATAGTGTCTTTTGTTTGATATAAGTCTTCAAAAATTATTTGATGCTTTCTGCTGCTGTTCTCAAACTGCTTGCTTCTGTCTTTGTTCTTTTAGGAAGAAGAAGATATAGAAATGGCTGTGATCTACCTTCAAAAGTTACTCCGGGGAAGAGTTGTTCAGAACATGGTTTGTAGGGCCCAACCAGTGGCCCAGAGTTTCTCCTTTGAGAATAGATTTGTAGACTGCATTTGTGCTTGGTTCCTTGAAGTGAATTCTCTCTCGCACTCTGCTGTCCCATGGAACTACACTCTTAAATTAACTACTCATTCCCTTCCAGTTTGCCCAGCTAGGTGGCACAATGTCAAGGAGAAAAGAGGAAGGACTTGCTGTTATTTGCCAGTTGTAACTAAAGCATTGTGAACCTAATTTCTAATCCTTGGGATTACTAAATCCAGCATTTTTCTTATCTGAACTTTGACTATTAAAGCATCACAAATTAAGTGTATATTCCCTATTTTTTTTTAAAGATTTATCTATTCATGCATATAAGAATTGGGGTACAGGCCAGAGGTGGGGGGCGGTGAGAGGATTCACTAGAGACAGAGTGGGGAGCAGAACAAGCAGATTGACTGAAAACACTGCTGAGGGGAGCAGCGGGCAAGGCAGGAGAGGTCTGCTGCACCATGTGGGTATCTCCCTGGCTGGGGGTCGAACTCATGCTGCAGTGGCTGCAGATAGCTTCATAGATTGCATCTTAACCCCTTGTGCCACCAGGGAGGCCCCTATATTCCCTAATTTTATACATAGTCATAACACAGTTCTTTGAGTTTTGTGTAGCACCAGTAACACCTGAATTAAAATGAGATAGCTAAATAATATGAACTATTTTTGGACTCCTACTATATGTCTACATTAGACATTCTTTGCTTGACATATCTCATCTTACTTTCTTTCCTATCAGTAACTCTTTTTCAGAGACAGGTGGTCTGCGTCAGAGAGACATTATGTTAACTACCCCCAAATTCAACACTGGTCTTCCTGACTATAAAGCCTTAATCACATTAATTTTGGTGTTAGAGCAAGCACATTTTAATTTAAGAAACAGACTGACAGAAAACCCCTAGCTACGATATTATCTTCTCCCAGACAGCTATAACTCTTAAGGGATTCATTTATGATGAGAAAGTCCAGGAAAGATGGGCAAGCTTCTTGTGTACAGCATTATTTACTCTTCTTTCAGTGTTTTCCCAGGAAGTCCACAGTTAAGTTCAGACAGCATATTGTGTATTACAGACCAGCGGCAGAGCCCCTGGAAAAGAAACCATGACCAAAACATGTATTATCCCACTCTTCTTAGGGAAGGAACACAAAAATGAGGGGAAGGTTTTAGTTTTTTAATGTGACCCCATAGTCATTCCCTGTTTTTGAGGGGCAATTAAGAAAATCGAGTAAAGAGCTGATAACTAAGTTCATGGGAGTTGAAGGTGTAAAAAGGGGGCTGAACTTGAGCTCTGAGAAATAACCTGCTGTGGCCCCAAAAGGCAGTGTGGAACCCACTATTGACAAGTGCCTCACAGCTCACTGCAGGCAAATCTTAGTGCCTGCTGCAAGGGAGGCTGATGTGCAAATCTCTCTGACTTGATTTGACACAGATGTTTGAAGGGAAAGAAAAGCGACTGGAACTGATCCAGGAACTGCGCACCAGCCATGCACTACAAGAAGATGACAGGCTGGTGAAGAAAGCTGAGAAGCAAGTGACCTTGGCTTTACAGCGGCAGAGGAACTTGCATGAACACAAGGTTCTTTGCTTTGTTACTTTCTTATTACATTTTCTCACTCTTATAATAACAATAAATGAAATGACACAAAAGTAATGTCCCCCATAATCCTGTGGCTCTATCACGTTCAACGATTATTTCCTTTTCCTTTTTATTGAGGTAACTTTAGTTTACAACTCTGTATTGGTTCCAAGTGTACAGCTTCTCACCTCAGCAACTACATATCTTACACCATCATCTACCGGCCAGTTGCCCTCCTCCACCTATTCCTTCTCCTCTTTTTTCATCTTTAGAAACCACCATTGTGTTGTTAGAATAAGGTTTTGTTTGTTTGATTGCTTTTTCTTTATATTCCACAAATAAGTGGAATCATACAGTATTTTCCTTGTCTTATTTCACATAGGATAATCACCTTACTGTCCACCCATGTTGTTACAAATGGCAAGATTTCATCTTTTTGATGACTGAGTAGTAGTCCCTTGTCTTTCTATACAAAAATCACTATTTGTTGACTAGTGCTACAGTTAACACAAGGGTATATATATATATATATATATATATATATATATATCTTTTCAAATTATTGTTCTCATATTCTTCTGTAAAAATCTCGAAGTGGGATTACTGGATCATGTGGTTGTTCTACAAAGCAACATTTTTAAACAATGTTGCTGCAGCCAATATTTGAATGGTATGTACCCTTACTCGATTGGTCTTTTTTCCTTTATTTGCAAAAAAACCCACCTTTTAGAAGGTTTTTCCCTTTGAATTTTCCTTAAATATTTGGTGAATCTAAATATTAGTTAGTGGGAGCTTAACAGAATGAATAATAAAAGCAATAAAAAATGAGAAATGAGATTTATTTTAAAATATCAGTGCTTACTTATAAGTTTTGGAGCTGTCTATAGCTCATGCTGGTCAAACTGCATTTTAAATATATTAGTATCTCAGAATGTTCTGTGACTTTCATCATGACCTCTCGGCTCTGAGACTCCTGATAACAATTGGTAATTGCATCTCTGACCCAACAACTGCAAATATTTTTCCTTTTCTCTTCTGATCTTTGTTTATATCTATCCAGATTTTGTTGTTGTTGACTACAGTGTAGATGCACTTTTACTACCTTTTTCATGTATCAAAAAATCAGTGTGAATAGAATCAATTTGCACAGAGATTACTGTTGTTAAGAAGTAAATTTATTGCCAAGTTAATATGACCCAACTTTAGCAACACATGTAACACTTGTGCTGGCAACTGGGCATAAAAGGTAAGCAGCTTGAAAATGGGTACAATGCCATCATTTACATGGTGGCAGGACGTGGATTGTTGCTGACTTTTGGGAAGTTGGGGTAGGGGAAGAAGGAAGAGGAAGAAAGTCATAGACTGTGAAATTCAGTAAAGATACCTGAGAAAAAAGAAAGTGTAGACACTGGAGTCTCTGAATCTGAAGTTACAAGAGTCCTGGAAATGATGGAGGCAGAACTGCTTTTTCATCCTGACAGGAAGCACAATTAGTACCCTAGAAGCATCAGGTTGCAGGAACTCAATGGACAAATGTCTTCCTTGGTTCGTCAAGGTTTCTGATAATAGACTGTAGCATATGCTAAGCCAATACAGTCTTTTCTTTCTTTCTTTCTTTTTTTTTTAAAGATTTATTTATTCAAGCACTGGGTACAGTCAGAAGCGTGGGAGGGTGAGAGAATTCACCAGAGCCAGAGCGGGGAGCCGAGCAGGCAGAAGGACCGAAGTACACTGCTGAGGGGAGCAGCGGGCGGCAGGAGAGGTCTGCGCGCCATGTGGGACCCTCCTCCGGAGGCCGGGGAGCAGCCGGGGTTGAGGAGGCTGCGGCCAGCTTCGCAACCCAGCGCTCAACCGCTGCGCTACCGGGGAGGCCCCAATACAGGCTTTTCAATTCATCTGTTCCATGTAGTGAATAAATACCTAGTATGTCAGCTAGAAGCAAAGGGAAGAGTAAATAGGAAGACTTGTCACTTAGCCAAGGACTCACCCTGCTTATATTCAGTTGTACCTTGATATACTAATGATATGTTAGGGATCTAAGGAAGTGGGCACCTCACATGTACCTACAACAATGCTGATTCTTTCCTTTTCTCGTTCTCTTATATTTTCTCTGGAAAACAATCCAGAGCATGCACAGTTCCATTTTTGTATGTGCAAACTTCAAGAAATATTGCAGACTTGATTCCAGACCTCTGCAATAAAGCAAATATTGCAATAAAGGGAATAACATGAATTATTTTGGTTTCCCAGAGCATATAGAAGCTATGCACACACTAGTTCATTAATTGTGCAATAGCATGATGTCTACAAAAAAGTGTATATTCCTTAATTCAATGTGACACAGAGACATGAAGTGAGCACAGACTGCTGGAAAAATGGTTTCCATAAACTTGCTTAACACAGGGTTGCCATAAACCTTCAATTTGTATAAAAAAAAAAAGGCAATATTTGCAAAAAGCAATAAAATGAAATGCAATAAAACAAGGTGTTCCTGTAATGCATTACATGATATGACTGTAGCAGAATCAACTTCCTAAATATTTTTGCAAGATTTTTACAGAATAAGGATACAATTTTCTTATTTATATGTATTTTACATCATTGTTCATTTTTAAACAATGTTTGCTTTCTTTTCTCAGGTGTAGTCCCCATTGAATTTCCACCCCAATTCACCCGTGCACCATCACCACAGTCCCCTGTGCTCCTCCCTCCCTTGTTCTGGTCCTTCTCTCTCATCCCTCTCTCTCCCCCCCTCCCCCCAAGGATGTCTCTGGTTTATAATTGTTTGTTTTTGTTTTGTTGTGTTTTTTATTATTATTTTTCCCCTGATGCCTTATTTGGTTCCCCTATATCCCTCCTATAAGTGAAACCATCCTGTATTTTTCTTTTACCTTCTGACTTATTTCACTGAGCATAATTCCTTCTAGCTCCATCCATGTTGCTGCAAATGGCATTAGTTTATCTTTTTTGATTGCTGAATAGTATTCCACTGTGTATATATACCACATCTTCTTGATCCAGTCTATTTTTGGGCATTTGGGTTGTTTCCAGGTTTTACAAAGGATACAATTTTTTTTAAAATACTTTTATTCTCCATGTCAAAGCCAGGGCAGAGTGATGCGTAAGTAGATACTGGGGCTTATTTCTGGATAAGAACACCAGGTCCCTGGTTAACCTCGGCGATCTATAGACATAGGCCTTTTCCTATTTCAAAGGTAATTAATTACTTTGAAGTCATTGGAAAGAATAAAATGTCCATAATTTTCTACTTTCATGTTATTCAAGTTCTTAAAATTTCCCAAACTTGTACTAATGGACCAAGCATAAAAAAAAATCATGAGTGAATTTCTATTACATTCCAATACTATCTTTTAATAAAAGCCTCGATATTTCATGTCTGGGCAAATACACTTTACTTTCAGGATAAGACTGAAAGGGGAAAAAAAGACATTTTGTGTGTTTACTAAAAGGATTTTTTTGCTAAGCACTCTTCATAATCTGCAGATAGAATCCATCAGTGGCTGACTGAGCAATGTAATTTCTCATGTCTCAATTTGTGTCCTAAGTTTTCCTAGTAAGATTCCTTGGGACGTGGCCAGTCCAGAGACAGTATTCCTAATAAAAACTAAGCGCATGGCAAAATCACTGTTAAGAGCTCTGGGTAACCCAGCATCTCATCATAAAAGTCACCTTTTTTTTTTTTTCCAAGTTTGATGGTTTTATTTAAAATATGCCACAATTAAGTTAGCTTACGCTTATTTAAAATATACTTCAAGAAAAATCTCTCTCAGCTTTTCATGATTACCATGTATGACACAAAATTTCTCATACATATTCTCTCATGGAATTTGTTCCATTAATGGATATGATTATTTTCAAGGTGTCCCTTGTTGAAAACCACCTGGCGGGCCTGGAAGGCAGGGTGCTGGCGGACATGCTGGACTTCCTGTCCAAGGAGCTGGTGAGGCTGCAGGAGGAGCGGCGGGTCCACGCCTTCGCCATGCTGGCCGAGCGCCAGCGGAGGATGCGCGAAGCCGAGGAGAGCGGCCGGCGCCAGGTGGAGCAGAGGCGCCTGCGGGAAGAGGACGAGATATTTAAGCAGGTCGGTGGGTGCCGCTGGCTGCCTATAGGGGCAGGGTGGTCACTGGGCAGGTTTTTTTTTTTTTTAAAGAGTTATTTATTTATTTATACAAAAGCGCGGGAGGGTGAGCGAATTCACCAGAGCCAGAGCGGGGAGCAGAGCAGGCAGAAGGACCGAAGTACACTGCTGAGGGGAGCAGCGGGTGGCAGGAGAGGTCTGCGCGCCATGCGGGACCCGCCTTGGGTGGCCGGGGAGCTGCCGGGGATCGAACCGTGGCGCAGGTTTTATGATCCCAACAGACTGGGTAAAGCAGGAGGCCTGGAGCCCTCGGTGGCTTTCTCAGGCTTTTATTGAGCTTTACATGCATTGCAGCAACCGGGTACACGGCAGGCAGGGGTGCTGGGGGGGCCACGAAGCCAGGAGGCCTCCAGGCCCCAGGCAAGTCTTCACTCTGGGCTTCTCTGGCTTCTTTCTCTCCTCCTCTCTCCTGCCTCTCTCCCCTCCTACTTCTCTTGGTGACTATCCCAATACTCCTCCCACGGCCCACAGAAGTAAACAACACAATAATGTAACAACTGCAGGTGCCCCATCAGGCAGGGCAATCCTAATGGTGGGAGGGCAGAAAACCCTGAAAACTAATTTGCCTTACACTGACTGGAGCGGCTTGTAAGGAGTCAAAACGAAGGAAACTCATGGTATGAAATGACAGTCGTTTTTGAATGTACTCAATAAATGTGTATAGGCTAGGTAATACACAAAGGCATTGTAGGATCCTTGGGAGGGAAAACCGACGTGGGCACTTTTGTCCTGGAGCGTAACTACCATATACCATGCAGATAAGCGTAGAATTAGAAAGTGTGTTGAGTCTCATGAAGGAAGCAAATGGGACCCACTGCTGACAAGAACAAAGCCAGGATCTTGAGGCAAGGCCATTGACTCTGAAGCCTGAACCTTCCTGCCATGTTGCATTGCCCACCTTCTGGTGGAAGAACCGCAATTCTGAAATGGGGTAGATGGTGGGGGGGGGGGCGTCTAGTGGGGAGAGGCTGCTCAGAATATGTAGGTGAATCAGAAACAGACTGGATAGATGGTTAAGATGAAAGAAATGATCAGTGAGGACAGCATTGACTCAATAAAGGAAATTGATGCACTTAAAAAAAAGCTTAACCAATGTTTGTACATTTTGGGGTCTTGTTTACTATTGTATTTTGTTTACTATTGCTATTTTCAGTAACTGGGGTTTTTGTGGGGTTTTGTAGGTGGTAAAAGTGCACCAAAGTACTATAACATCCTATTTGGAAGACATAATACTGAATACTGAAGAGAATACGGCAGAAGAACAAGCCAGGGCAGAAATTGAGAAGATAGCTCAGGAAATCAATGACATTGCTTATGAAATGGAAAACCGGTAAGCACCAGGGGAACAGAATGGGCAGTCCATCTGCTGTTACTCATAATTTTTTCAAGAATGTGAGATTTGACCATCAAGTAGAAAGATAAATATCGCATGCCAGTGTTTTTTGTTTGTTTATTCGTTTTTAGTGTATTTCTTTAGAGCCAAATCCTATATGGCAGCAGTAAACTGTATGTGCAGTATTACTTGGACTTCATTTCACCCTGGTGTTTTAGGCGTCCGTGTTTAAGTTCTATCGCTAACATCCTTCCCTGTCAGGCAGGGTAAATGAATTACATGGTCAAATCTCAATTTTCCATGGAGTTAACCAAGCTCACCAGGAATATGAGATTTCAGATCACCTGATTGAGACAAAGACTATGGTGGGATTTGAGCAATGGCGCATATTACACAAGCAAGGAGGGTCTAAGAATAAGGCAGCAGCTCAAACAAGGCAACAAAGGCAGTGGTTTAATTTGTTGCTTCATTTTTCAGTCGGACTCATCTTCAGTCAGAGGAAATTGTTGCTGAGTTGGTTTATAGTTTCCTGATCCCAGAAGTACAGAAGGCCTTTGTCAAAGAAAAAGGTAAGCCAATGTAAATGCTTCACTTTAAGATTTTTTTTTCAAGATATATTTTTAGTAGCTAAGAGATTTATAACTGAGCAGTTTTAAGTTAGGAAAATTTCTGAAGAAGAATCATTGTTTTCTGTTTGACGTTTGTCAAGTTCTCTTCGTGCTGTCTGATTCCAGAATATAATCACCTCTAAAGTAAATGGGTGTTGGTCTAACAAGTTTGACAGAGTCTCAAGGTCCAAACCTTTAAGAGGCAGTTGCCAAGCTTCCAGAAGAGGTGTGTTTTGTGATTTAATTTTTTAAAGCAGAGAACAAATGTTGAGGGCAGGCAGGAATTTGAAACTAGCATCCTTTTGGAGGAGGCATAGCACTCGCAGGGTGGGTGCTGAGGAGCTGGGATGCCTGGAGGGCCTCAATCTTCCCTGCGGCTCAGCTGGTGCCATGAACATCGTCTTTTGCTGCTGGATTGTATCTCAGTATAAATATCCTCATCCATCATTTGTCGAAAGTGGAATGTTTTTGAAAATTGATGCTTCCAGTCAATAGAGAAGGGAGAGAGAAAAATATGTCTAAAAAAATAGGAACAGCAGAAAGAAGGATATTCTTCTGGAACTTTCAGACTGTTGGTGACAGATTTCATCCCAGAAGGAAAGAAGGTGCAACCAGGAGAAGATCCAAATTGAAGTAAATAACAGCTCAGAAGGTTTTAGAATTATACAGGGGCATTGTGGACAGGTTTACAAGAAAAGTGTGTAATGTATCAGATCACCCAACCCAGGATAAAGGAATGGTGATGTTCTAATACATTAGAAGGGAAAAAAGAAATCTTATTTTCCCACTAACTGATTATACTGTAATTTTTTAACTAGTAGCCTCTAGTAATAAGCATTTAGTTTGATGTGTTTTCCTATAATTAGCAGTACTGCAGTCCATGTATTTTGCACATATCCAGGTCATGCTTCTGAAAGTAAATCCCTAGCAATATAATGCTGGAAACAGGGCATGGGCATTTCATGTTTTGATAGATTACCAGATTATCCACATAAAAAAGATTTTTCTAATTCATGTTCTCATCACAAGTACATGATAGTGCCTTTATTAACAAAATTAAAATTTTAGATCAAATAACATTTCTGTGTCACCTTATATTATTAAAGTGATCTTGTGTTTACCAGATCCTTGAGAAATTATGCAACCTTTTTTACTTCTAGGTGGGAAGTAATATCAGCCTGCTTCAGATTAATTCCCCTTGAGGGAATTGAAGGAGAGGAGGAAATAGTTTAATAATTACTAGTTTGTAACTACTTTCCCCAGTTGCTCCTAGGAGGGCAGGGAAGGAGCCGGAGGGGGCGGTTGATCTGAAGAATCTGAAAGAATTCATCTGGACAAGTCCTTAGCCTTTTTCCTTTGTACTTCTGCAAAATCAAGGAAGTCAAATGGGCAGGGATACACACTAGGACCCTCTGTTTCTCTTACCAAATATAATAAAACCATACATATTATATTACCCAAAATTAAGATAATATTGCATACAGGCCATTTTAAGATGTCTAATTTTTGAAAGCTGCTGGATTAGAAAAACAAACATTTAAGAGACCCGTGTAGATGTAAAATAACAGTAACTGCCAACATTTAAACGTATGCTAAGTTCCAGACAATGTACCAAGTGTTTGAAAAAAGGACGTTATCTCAGTTTCTTACAACAGCTGTGTGTTCTTATTTTTCTGTTAAGGAAATTATTGCTTAAGGACTTTATATGACTTTCAAATTTGAACCATGATCTGTATAATTTCAAACCCCCATTTTTTTCAGCTATACTACTGTTAGGCTCTATGGGTTGCTGACTGATTTACCTCATGGAGACTAGCTAATACCTGAACAGCACAGAATTTGCAGAACATTTTACCACTCTTTACTAGCTTTATGATTTTGGGCAAATTACGTAATCTCTCTGGATCTCATATCCCATATCTGAAAATGGGAATATTAGTAATGCTGTATTTTAGGGATGTGGGTGGTTTATATGAATAATTATATGCCAACTGCTTAAAACAGGACTGGCACAAAAAAAGGACAATTGCTAACTGTTAATATCATCATCATGATTGCCCCTTTTCAGGGGACATGGGAAGCTTAATGTACTAAATGCGGATAATATTTTTAAAATATGGAGCTAGGACCATCCTCTTAAACCCATGAACTTAGAAAATCATCGTCAATCAAGTATCCTCCGTATTAGGAACTAAGGCCCAGAGAGTAGTATGAGACAATGCCTGTACTTTTAAATCATTTACCATTTAGATAGAAAGCAAAATGTAACTCAGATGCAGTCCTTGGATGTTGAATGGGTTGGTAGAAACTAGAGTGAAGCAAATGTAGACATGGCGGACATGTCAGAGGACATTCCCTCGAGGAGCTGGAACTTGACCTGGGCTCTGCAAAAAGGGTAGGATTTGGGGTGCAGGCATTCCAGGTCAGGAAGCTGCTGAGAAGTGGAGTGGAGCCAAGTCTGTAGGGAAGAATAGGTTTGGACGGAACCAAAGAGTGGGAACAGAGGGTACAGCAGTAATACGATTTGGGTGTGGTTGCCTAAGATACTCTTCTAAAATGGAGAGCAGGTTGTTCTTATATAACCTAGTCAGCCATCAGCCAGGGAATATGTGGCTTTCAAAATTACAATTTCTGTCATCACTCCTTGAAAATCTTTGGGCATGATTTCATTCAGATTTTCAGAGAAAACATTCTTCTGTCACTTTGGTACAGTGAGGAACGCACAGCGGAAGCATATTCTTGCAGCCCATGAGATCATCCACAGGCACACGGAAGCCATGATCAGAGCGGCTGTTGAACAGCAGCAAAATGAGGAAGGAACTCAAGAAGCTGAGAAAGGAACTCAAAGTGAGGAAAGCAGCTAAGGTGAGTTTGATTTTCATCTGGAGGAAAGGAGAGGAAGAGAGGACAAGCTACCTTGTTCAGCTGAACTCTGACAATCATAATGTGAACAGATTGTCCATTGCTGAAGAAAAAAATAAGCTCTCCCATTCAAATTGGCACTTTCCATCTAGATGATGGAATTGACTTTAAATTATTAGAGTATAGCATTGATATTATACCAATTGGACTTTTGTGACTCTAAATTATTTTTTAATAGGTTCTTTTAGCATGTGGCTGTGCTCCTTCACAAATATAGCTATAGAATATGTTTGTGTTGTAAGAAAACTTGTTTCTGTGGAGGTAGAGAAGATATATCTTGCCTAACGCATTGTGCTGGTTCTAAGCACAGTCTGCCCAGTCCTCGTCCAGATGATTTCTGCAGTGCCCATCAGGTTTTGGTCTCAACTAAACAGTCACACTCATGGGATTACCCACCATAGGCCACAATTGGTATGATTTGAGTAACAATCTGCTCCAGCAGGGCAGTGCCAGGCTTTTCTCTCCCTGTGAGACCTTGTACACACAGAACATATTTTCTTTAGCTCTCAGGTGCAAGGAAAAGAGAATCAGATTGGGTGGGTGCAAGGACAGCCCTGACTTATATGCTTCAGAGACTAGTATCTCTTATAAAGTTCCATAGGCAGCGCTTCTAGGGTCCTCAGATTGCATTTACCCAGTCGCAAAAGTAGGCACTCTCAGGAGCGTTTAAAGGCATGGTTTCCTAGTAAGTCTTAGTAGCCGTAATTCTTTCCAGTCAGATGCTACTTAGAGGTAGCATTTAGGGGTCATTTATACCTTAAGCAGTGTTGCCTAGTAGTAGTTTCATTGACCCACAGGGAGTCACTTAAAAGTAAAATTCTCCTGTGAAGGGGGAAAGGAATAAACCCTTTGGCTGTACCTCTTCCCTCAGTCCTTTCATGGTGCAGGCACACGGTGCCCATTACTGTGTCCTGACGGTGCTATCAGACGACAGGAAGATGCTAAAGTTGACAGAGAAGTTTTAGGCTGGCATTCAGAAGGTTTGGATGTTGACTAGCTTTGCCATAACTGTGTAGTAGAGAAATCTATAATAATGCTGAGAAATTTTTATATATCAGGAATGGATGGAGTAAGCAGAATATAAACTGTAAAAAATGGAAAATTTGAGATGCACATTGAAGAAACTTCGCCTGATAGACATTTATAGAATGTAATAACTGCAAAATGCACATTCCCTTCAAGCATACACAGAACATTTAACAAAAACTGACAATACGTTATCATCAAGCATGTCTCAGCTATTTCAAAGAATTGAAATCATGCGAACTGCGTTCTCTGATTAAAATGCAGTGAAGCTAGAAATCACTTACAAGATAATCCCAATATATTTGAAATTAAGAAATACCGGTTTAAACAACCTGCTCATTAAAGAAAGTATCAGAACAGAAATTAGAAAATATTTTTGAACAGAAAAATGACAAAAATGCTATGTGTCAAGTTTGTGGAATGCTGCTACTATGGCACTTTATAATCTTAAAGTGATATTTGATAAGGTGAAAATAAGACAGAGTATCCTTTTCTAGAAATTAGGTGGCAAAGCAAAAATAAAAGGATGGAAACAATAAAATAAAAAATAACAGCAGAAATTAAAATAGCTGTGTCTTCTGATTCTATGTAGGATAGCTGTACAGATTAGGGAAAATAATAGGTATGTTATAAATGCCATCTTTTTAAAGGCTTTACAGAGCTGTGGGAATAGAGGGAACCAGGTAAACTAAATTGTAGCAAGGACAGAGTCTTTCCTAACTGGCCTGAGGCTGCTGGCTATTTTCTTCCTGGGAGCACTGGCTGAGCATGGGCACCTGCTAAGAATTAGGCTTATGAAAAGCAGAGGAATTTTATTTACTAAGAGGAAGAGAAACCAACAAAACTTTATAAGTCTGTGTGGAGTAGGACAATGGATTGTGACCCAGCCAAAAGATGACATTTCCCCCCACAGAGTGTCCTTTTTAGGTTTTTTTTTTTTAAGATTTATTTATTTATACAAGAACCGGGGTACAAGCCAAATGTGTGGGAAGGTGAGAGGACCCACCAGAGACAGAGCGGGGAACAGAACAGGCAGATTGATGAAATACACTGCTGAGGGGAGCAGCGGGCAAGACAGGAGAGGTCTGCCGTGCCATGTGGGACCCTCACTGGCCAGCCGGGATCAAACCTGTGCTGCAGAGGCTGCGGACAGCTTCACAGCGCGGCGCTTAACCACCTGCGGCGCCAGGGGAGGCCCCGTTTTAGGTTTTTGGTAGGTACCCTTTCACTAGTTTGAATCTGTCTTGTAGAAATTAGCCAGCAGTGTCAATGGTGATCTTCATTCAGTCTCATGGATTCAACTGTTGCTAATTTATCGTTCCATGGAAAATTTTTTTTAATGTGTGGCTATTTTCAGCTATTCAAAAATAGCTGAATATCCTGACTTTCCCTGCCACACTTGTGTTCAATGACTTAACAATGGCCAAGTTTCTTTAAGAAAGCTACCCTTAACCACTAATTTTAAAACACAGAATGACTATGGAAATTAGCTTTTGTACAGAATTGGTAATTTTTTAAATGAATCCAGCCTAAAATTTCAAGGCACAGCAGAACTTATATGCAGCACTTATACTATGGTAAAGTCATTTCAATGACAACTAGCATTGTGTGAATTACAAGCAATGTGAAATTGTTTTACATACTTCCTGTGCTGTCAAAAGTTGAAACAAGAAGCAAACTCTCCATTCCCACACATATCTGCAACAAATTTAATTTCTGATCTGAACTACGTTTTCAGGAGTGGTTCTTGGATCTTGACATAAGTTGAAAGGAAATTTCCATATTTCAAAATCTGATTATGCAATGGAGCCATGTCTATTTAACCTTTAATCGGAAGTGATTAATCTGCCTTATAATAACTTCCCAAAAGGCAAATATCAAGAGAAGAAACTAATGAAATCCTATAAATGCCTTCTAAGCAACAAATATCCACAATTTAAAAAATATACCAGTATCAATATTGGTAGGACCAATATGTGTGAAAGACATTCTCAAAGCTAAAATGGGGGGAATTCTCATCGCTATTAACACATGAACAATTGCAGTTGATTTTGATGATTTGAACCCCAATTAAATAAGATGTTATCCCTTAAATAAGAATTTCATTTTTCTCATTAGTAGGCCTGTATTACAAAAAACTGTAATTATTAGTACTATTTCCTTTAATTGAAATAACAGTGCATTATATCATATAAGTTCCAGGTGGGCATCATTAAAAATTAACATGTAGGGCCTCCCCCGTGGCGCAGCGGTTGAGCGCTGGGTTGCGAAGCTGCCCGCGGCCTCTGCGGCGCCGGTTCGATCCCCGGCTGCTCCCTGGCCACCAGAGGAGGGTCCCACATGGCGCGCAGACCTCTCCTGCCGCCCGCTGCTCCCCTCAGCAGTGTACTTCGGTCCTTCTGCCTGCTCTGCTCCCCGCTCTGGCTCTGGTGAATTCTCTCACCCTCCCGCGCTTCTGACTGTACCCAGTGCATGTATAAAGAAAACAAACAAACAAACAAATAAATAAAACATGCTTCTATTTAAATAAATAAATAAATAAATAAATAAAAATAAAAATTAACATGTGTATATGCTATATCACGTTCACCATTAAAAGGCTAATTCTATCCTTCACCACATAATTGACCATTTCTATCTGATTTATCCACCCCTTCTTCCCCTTCCCTTTGGTAATCACTAATTGGTTTTATAGTCTAAAAGTGTACTTTTATTTTATTTAGTTCATCCATATTAGTAGCACATTTTGAATTTTATTAATAAAACATTTGTGAAAATTTGTCTTTTCTCATTTGAATGCATAATATCCTTCTCTTTGTCTTTTGGCCTACAAAACCTAAAATACTTATTAGCAGGCCTGCTACAGAAAAAGTTTGTGAGTCTTCACAACTCTTCACAACTGAAATGAATAAAGCAGAACTAAATACAAAACAGCATGACTGAATCTTATAAATACAGTGACGATCAAAAGAAGCCAAATCTAAGAAATATCTACAGAACCTGTCTATTTATGTGCAGTTCAGAATCAGCACTGAACTCTAACGTTTAGGAGTACATTCTTAGAAAAGCAAAGACCATGATTACTATAAAAATCAACAAAAAGCAGAACAGTGATTAATTTTAGGTGGTAGGGGGAGGAGGGTTGTGATGGGGCGGGGGGATAACCCAATTTCTGGGGTTTCTTGACCTGAATAGTAGTTGCACAGATGGATACTTTACATTAATTAGACTGCACATTGGTTTTCGGTACTTCCCTCTATGTGTCTTATTGATAATAAAATTTAGAAATGTGTGTGTGAATACAAATACATATATGTATGGATGGATGGTATATTGGGTGGGGCTGTCTGACTTCAAAGGCAGGGCTCTGTGTAATTGTATCACAGTATTTTTTAAAATGAATTGATCTGATGATGATGATTTCTAAAAAGGTGACATAATCATAAACATTTGTGTTGTTTTTTACAGATTGTGATCTTTTTTAAGAAAGCTGTATAAATCATCAGAAAGAATTCCAGTAGTCTCTGCTTTTCCCAGGATGTGCAGCTCTCATGAGCTTGTCAATGTGTACTTCATGAGCAAAAAGATTTTTTTTCTGTAAAATCCCAGTGATTTGAAATGATTTTTAGTAATAATAATCAAAAGGAGTTTTATTCCTTGTGGTGTTTCCTAGATGCTCTACTACAAGTTTTCTCATGTCTCATTTTAACATTTTATTAAATGTGAGGTTATGTTAGCTTGTTGAATCAAACAAAAAGAAATATTACTGATTATTTCTTAAGTAGTTTTGGTTTTCTAGCCATAGTATATTTTATTCTCTACTCAGGCTGAAAATATGCATAACCCATGACCCAGCATTTCATCTCCTAGATACATACCCAATAGAAATGCATAAGTATGTGCATGAACAGGCAGGGGAAGAATGTTACGAGCAGTACTATTCATGAGAGCTCCCTGCAATGAAAAATTAATTGTGGTATATCTATTCAGGGGCCTGTCAGTGCACCATTGAGCCTTAGATCTAGGAAGTATTTTCATGCAACATAAAAAGAGTACTGTTGGAGAGCAATCTGCCCATCCTGTGTGTTGACAACATTAGAGTGAAATGAATCCCTCCTTAATTAAAGCTCAAGAAGTAGGAAAAACAATTAATAAAAGCATCAATGGGGACCCATAGTAAAGAGTTTATAAAAGAAAATGTATTTTACCCTGAAGACAGATAAAGAACCTATCTTAGAAAACATCTTACTATAGAAAACAAGAAAAGCTTCAGAAACTATCTGCTTGGTCCTAACAGGAGGCAAAAGGAGATAGTCTCTTAGGAAAATGAAGCAGAGAATAGTAAGCACAGAGAAGACCAGGTGTAGGCTGAAAAGGAAAGACTGGCTAAGAAGAAAAAAATACAGAGAGATTAAAAATCTAATGACATCAATTTATACACAGTTAAGAAGATAGCTATCACAACAGAAAATTACAATTTTCCTGACAAATTTGTTAAGTCATAGGGCATGGGATGGAGAGGAAAGGACAAACATGAAAATGATGAGCTCTTCCAATTTGTTGGCATAAAGATGTTCATAGTAGTCTTTTATGATCCTCTATATTGGAGATGTCTGTTAAAACTTCTCTTTCAACTTTCTGAGTCAACTTATTAGAGTTTTTTCCCTAGAGTTTTCTCTAGTCTAACTAGAGGTTTTTCTATTTTGTTTTTTTTTTTTTTTTTTCAAAGAACCAGATTTTGGTTTCATTTTTTAAACTCCGGTGGCGCAATGGGTTGAGTGCAGCACTGTGAAGCTGCCTGCAGCCTTCGCAGAGCCGATTTGATTGCAGGCCGGCCAGGGAGATTCCCACACGGTGCAGCAGACCTCTCCTCTAGATTTGGTGCCGGCTGCGCCCTTCAGCAGTGTATTTTGGTCATCTGCCTGCTCTGCTCCCTGCTCTCTCTCGCTCTGTCTCTGGTGATTCCTCTCACCCTCCCGCACCTCTGGCTTGTACCCCAGGTCTTGTATAAAAATAAATGAACCTTTAAAAATAAAAAAAGAATTCATATAGAAGTAAATAAAATAGAAACAATAAAGTTATAATAAAAAAATATTCTGAGTTAAAAAAAATTACTGATTTGTGAATTTACAATGTCCTAGGAAAACTAGATCGAAACTTTTTTCCCTTGAGGATCACTAGCAAAAGTACTGCACAAATAAGGGGCCATTGAATTTTTTTTCTTTAAAAATGTTCCCCAGAACAAGGCAAAGGTTATATTATTCACTTGTGAAATAAAAAATCAAGAACACAATGATTGGTGAGTTAGGGATGATAGGATAAATGATTGGGGGTTGGGGGGGGCTGGCACAGCAGGGAACAACAGACTTTCTCTGTAAAGACCCAGATAGTAACTATTTTAACCTTTGCAGGCCCTTGGTCTCTGTTGCAACTACTCAACTTTACTCTTACAGGATGAAAGTAGCAGTGAATAACTCAAATGAATGAACATGCTGTGTGCTAATAGAACTTTGTTTTCAAAAACTGGCAGCAGGCTAGATTTGGCACACGTGGCTGTTGTTTGCCCATTCCTGGTATATCGCAGTGAACTCAATTTAAATCTTATTTTGAAAAGTGATTTAAAGTAATTTCTAATAAATAATGTAATGAAACTTAAAATATTGTCTCTAAATCATCATCCTTATATAGACTCCTAAGTCTAAGCTTTCTATTTAGACAAAACGGAAACTATGAAGTATTCCAGAATTCTCATTGAATAATAGAAGTTTTCAAGGAGGTGAAAATACTTACTTTTCTGATACACTGGCAGACTCTACTTATCAGGGCTTGACTTAAAACACCCCAACTTTCATAATTGTTGCTTTGGGAAAATGAGACACATTGAGTGATGAGCAAAGCTCATATTTAAAGCCATGTGATCATGGCAACTGGAGACCTGTAATGGATTAGGGCTAGACTAATACAATCAACAGCAATGCACAATTACAACGGCCTGATTTTTGAGGTAGAGAAAAAAAATTTCGCATAGATGCATAATCAAGAGTAGTGAAGATTTATGCCTTTTTACAGAGGCAGTGCCTTGCCTCAACAGTCAATGTAAAATCCAATGGCAGTAAAAGTCGCTTTGGGATGAGCAACCATTAGCATGAAATTATTAGAGATTCCAGATTCCTGAAGTGCAAAGCTCCCAGACAAGGAAACTGTCCCTCCCCAAGTATTGACCACACAGAGACTTGCCATGGAAGACATATTTTCAGTCAGGTCTTAATGACATTTGTCTTACAAAGCCTCAAGCCAAAAAGTGATACAGGGCAAGGTTATAATACCTGGACTTCCCAACATCACATATCACACTTGGTTGTAACTGTAGTTCTGAGGTGGAGGCAGGAGCTGTGCCTCTTGTTTTCAGTTGTTTTTTATTCTTGGTGCTGGCAGACTCTGGCATATGGTGTTCTCCAAGTAAGTATTTATTGAATGAAGTTGTACATACTTTATGTTTGTCCAAGCAAGAAGATTCCTCCAAGGTGTCCTCATGGGATCAAAGCCCCTCTCCGTGTCTGGCCTTGGCAATCCCCTGTTCCAGGAGCCTCCGAGGGCCTCCAAGAGCATACCCCAGTGGGGTAACAGATTTTGAGGACAACTTGATTGGTTGATAAGTACCTTTTCCCCTAGTTTATCCCATTAGTGCATCACTCCTTTAGTTGACTCTTCTTCATCTAGGTCATCCTTGTAGGAAGGCAAAACATAAATGAAATCACACTAAGGAAAATCCCTAAGCTTATCAGATCTACTTGTCGCTTACGAGTGATTTAGGAGCGCCACGTTTCTGGTTTTGGCAAGAGAAAATAAAGTGTAAAATGGTGGTTGGGGACTCAAATTTCACCTACTTCTCATCTGTGCTGCCCTTAATAATTTGAGTGTATTCTCTGAGCTTGGAGCTAACGTGAAAACTACATTTATAGCCTCAAGAGGCCAGGCAGCCCTGCAGCCTGTCTCCTGTCCACTGGCCCGTGACACTTGACAGACCCAGAGGACAGGGAATCCAGAAGATCCCTGCAGAAGCCTGCCAACAGTGTCTTTGCCTCAGTGGTTTTATAGTCCTGTTTCTGCTGTAAATAATTGACCATTGTTTAAAGAGAGAGAAGGCTGGGTCCTTGTAAGAGAGAAGGCATTTCAGAGATGGTGAAAGCTATATATTTTACCCATAACACAAGGGTTTCTGGCAAGCTGCCCTAGTCTAGGATGCTGGCCTTTTTTTGTTAAGCTTAGAAATGCCAGTCTTTACAGAAAGCCCTAGTTTATTAAATAAAAGATTTTGTTATTTTTTAGAGCAGTTTTTAGTTCACTGCAACCTTGAGATAAGGTACAGAGATTCTCTCTCTGTCCCACGCCCCACACATGCAGTTTTCCCCTTGTCAACATTCCCCACCAGAGTGGCACATTTCTGTCAATCAATGAATCTACTGGGACACATCATCACCCAGAGTCCATAGTTTACTTTAGAGTTCACTCTTGGTGGACATTGCATGGGTTTGGATAAATATGTAGTGACATGTATCCCCCATTATACTAGGGATTCATGGACGGGCTGCTTCTACTGGAACTGAAATCCAGCATTTCACTTCTAGGTTCTCCTTGCCAAGGTCCAATTCAGCCTCCCAACCAGTGGATGTTATAATCCAGTGCTCCCCATCCCTAGCAGGATCCCTGTGGACAGACTGAAACTTGACTGACAGAAAGGAGCCCCGGACCATGGGTCCTGGTCACCACTGCTGGCGGCAGAGCCCAGCAGTGAGCTGTGCAAGCCATCTTATTTTTTGCATTTGGTTGGGAAGAGCAAGCCAGCAACCACTTGAGAAATGATGACACTTAGAAATCCCAGACTGAAATCTTCCCTCCCCCCTCTTCCCCGCCCCGCCCCCAGGGGAAAATTGAGTGGAAGAGAAGAAACCAATTTAGCTAAAAGATTTAAAAAAAAAAAACAAAAAACCCACAAACCTTAGATATTCTTGCTTATATCATCAGGAGGGCTGGATTAAAACATGTAATTCAACATAAAAACAATCAAATCAGGAAATAAGTGTTAAGAAACCCAAAATTTGACATGCAGACGACTGTGGTAATTTTTTGGAACTCCTCAGTTCTCTTCTCCACCTATCTGCTCAGCCCCCATCCTTCTCCCTCTGCCTTTCTCATTGTAGCAGATGACACTGCTTTACTCTTCTCAGAAGCCTGCGCTTCATTTGCATTTTATATGGGAGCAGTTTCCACTCCCCACATCTGCCATAAAGTAGCCTTTAAAACAAAGCAAAAGAAAGAGACTAATCCTATGAAACCCACCCCCTAGGGTTTCCCAGTTCTACCCCCAGGAGTGCTAGAGCAGCCAGCAGAGCTGCTGCTTGGGAGCCTGCAGGGTCAGGCTGAGGATTGAGGACCTGGGGCTCTAGCAGGGCCTTGTGAGGAGAGCGTCATAGAGTCTTCCTCCCTTGGTCCAGGCTCCCTGCTCCTCCTGGTGGGCACCTTTCTGGAGGTTGGGGGGCAGGTCACAGTCATGAACTGTGCTCATGCCCTCACTTCACACTCCCTCTCCTTGCATACCTGTGTTGCTGTTCATATGCTGTCCCCCTGACTTTCACAGCAAGTGACATTGTCCAGGAAGGCAGGTTAGACAAAGGAAGAAGCAATAGGAGATCTAAGTTCAAACTAACTTTGCCTCAGTGTCTAAAGCACAGAGAGCGTCAGATGCATGAAATTTGCTCTGAAGTAGTAAGACCCAAAGAAGATACTAGTAACATTCTTCTCCTGTGTTTTACAGTGAAGACAGCTGAGAGGAAAAATGTGGGGAGCACATAATGGGAGTAAATACGGTAATCTGTTCATTTGCAAGTTTAGGTGCTGGACTTGGGACTCAGGAGTGCCAGGTGGGGGCCCATTTAGAGCCTGGACTAAGTGCAAACCTGCACTGAAATGTAGGTGAGAGACAAGATTGGTTCGTATTCTGGGAAATAATAACCTCTGACTTGGACAGGAAGTGCTGCCTTTACTTCAGCGGAAGCCTCCGCCTCTCCATTCACGTCTGTGAAAAGCAAAAGGTGAAGCTAATCCTCCAGCCTCTAACAAGGAAGCTATTTCAGATGTGCTGATATTTTGATTGCTCTTTTGTCCTTGATTGTTTGAAGTGGACCCCATAGACGCAGTCAGAGTCAAGTTTCCACCAAGCAGGTATGTTTTTCCATTCTCTCTTGCTGAGGGTCAACTGCCCTTCAGCAACTTGCAAAAGAAATGTGGGGACCCACGTATATTTTATGTTTGAGGTCGGAATCGTGGTGGGCTTTGTAGCAGATTTCCTGCTGCTCTCCTCATTTCCAGGTTGGAAAAAACCCCAAAGACGATCATCTATACTGAGCCCCATTAGTTCTGTCCCCATGCCACATTTGCCTCCTAGAGAAGTAATGATTGTGGAAAACTTCGTCCTAAACGATTACCTTGAGTCATTCATATTATCATCTCCCTCTCTGTTGTTGGACAGGAGTCTCTTTTCTCTTGAGAATGTGAGAAAATCCCACATCTTTTTTCCCTTGAGAAAATACCACATCCAGCACTGTGGGCGCTGGGAAAAAGCCCCCGCTCCTCTTAGCTTGCAAGGTTAGTGCTGGCAGCCCCCCACCCCCACCCGCAGCTAATGCTGAGACCCAGCAGATAACAGTCACAGGTCCTGAGCACTCAGCATGATGGGGGGAAGTCCCACGCCTCTATATAGCCCTGTGACTGAGTTGGACCTGGATCGTGAGATTTCTACCTCATTTGAAGGGTGGCACCTTGTCCCACAGAACTGAGCCTCCTTACATGTGCTTAGCACCACCTAGCCCTCCTTCTTCCTGCATCACAACACAACCTGGCCTATTCTGTGCCCTTGACCTTTGCCTTAGGGAAGCTATGTGTCCGGGGAGGGCAGCAGTTCACCTCTGTGGCCACTGCATCTTGACTAAGTGCATCATTCGTGGCAGCTCCCACACAGATGCTTTGCAGTTCTGCTACTGGGAAGACTGGTGGTCACCACCAGACAGCAGAGAGACTAGAGCGCCTCCACTGGGATGGGCATATGATCTCTAATGTTATGGTCAGACTGTAAAATATTCTACACAAGGCCCCAGAGGTTGCTACTTATTGTATTAATTGGTTAATGGGCAAGATTATTTTTCCACACAACAAAAATACTTCTTTAAAACGCATTTTGGTTGTATGATAAAAGACTAAACCAGGTTTTGGCAGACTATGACTTACACGCCAAATTCGGCCTACCAGCTGTTTTTATAAATAAACGTTTATTGGAACATAGTCCTGCTCATTCATTATAGATCATTTGTGGTTGCCTTTGCCCTACAACTGCAGAATTGATTAGTTGTAAAAGAGACAGTTTAGCCCCCAAAGCCTAAAATATTAACTATCTGGCCCTTTACAGAAAGTGTTTGCCAACTCTTTACCTAAAGCTATCAATTTGTTTCTCAATTATTAAGAAATAAATATAAAAGACAACCACAAAACTGACTACTGTTAGTAAGCACTAACTTTTTAGAATTCTAGGTGTAGTGCATAAGTACATGTTCTTTGTAAAGGGAAAAAACAGTTTAGATAAAGCTAAATTCTCCTTTAGCCATCCTGCCAGCACCAAACCCCATTCTCCAGGAGTAACAGTTACAACCATCTTGGTGTGCGTATTGCCAGGTGGCTGCTGTCAGTCACCTGTACACAAGTGCCCTAATAAGCTGTGTGTTGTCACATTATTCTTCCCGCTTTTTCACTCAAATGACTCGGAGACTTTTCATACCATATAATTCTGCCTCATTCATTTTAACTGCTCCATAGTGTTTCAGAGTAAAATGTTTTGTTTGCCCATTTCCTTTTTGATAGATGTGTAAGCTGTTCCCAATTTTCATTCTTCCCAACAGCTCTGGAATGGCTTTCTCGTAATACTTCCTGGTGCCCACGTGCAAGTACCTCTCTAGAGCAAGTACTGAATAGATGATTGCTACATCTCAGCATTTTAATTTTTCATTTTGTCACATCACCCCTTACAGTGCCTGAACCAAGCTATCCTTCCACCAGCTGAGAACCTTAGTTACTGCCTTTCCACATGGTGATACTTGCTATTTATTAAACATTTTATTATTTTTCCAATTGGGTGAGTTGAAAATAGTAGCTCATTTTTTTTTTTAATAATTAAAGTTTCCTGATTACTAATATATTTGTTTGCTAGAGCTTCCATAACAAAATACCACAGACTGGATGGCTTAAACAACAGAAATTTATTTTCTTGAACTTCTTGGACTAGAAGTTCAAGCCAGGGTGTTGGCCTTGCTCCTTGGCTCACAGACGGCCACCTTCTGTGTCCTCATGTGGCTTTTCTTCTGTGTGTGTGTTCAAGGTATGTGTGTCTCTCTTCTTAGAAGGACGACAGCCAAATTGGATTAGGGCCGACCATAACTAACTCATGTGAACCTAACCATCTCTTTAAAGGCCGTATCTTCAAATACAGTCACATTTGGAGGTAACAGGGGACACAATTTAACCCCTAACAATGAGTGAGGGTGAACATCTTTTTATGTAATTCTTAGTCATTGTATTTTGTCTCTTAAGTTGCCTATTTGTGTCCTTAGCTTGTCTGACATTTGGTAATCTTCTCCCACTCATATGGAAGAGTCTAACATTTATTCTTGATGCTGATCTTTTGCTATACATATAATATTCTAAGTCTGTCACTTGTTTTATTTTTAACTTTACTGACATTGTGTTTTTAGGCAACAGATATATTTTCTATTATTGTTGATGTCATTGTTATGTTGATATAGTTGAATTTATCCATTTTTCCTTTATGGAGTTTGCTCTGGGTCTTATTTAAGAAAACCTTCTTAACCCCAAGAATATTAAGATATTTTGGCACACTTTCTTCTAATACTTTTGTAATTTTTTCTAAAAAGGGTCTCTAGTCCACTTAGAATTTATTCCGTGAATTATTCCAATAGCATTGATTGTTTTTTACGATTCATTTGAAATGTCACCTCTATTATGTACTAAATTTTCACACATGTCTATTGCTGGATACTCTATTCTCTTGTATGTATTTCCTATTCATGAGTCAATTTACACCATAGCTTTATCTTTACTGTTTGATTTTCCAATGATATATAGACAATCTATTTTGTTTTCTGTAATTTGTCTGGTCACCTTAGTGATTTCTCTTGATAGCTGTAAAACTTTTCCAGTTGACTCATTTGGGATTTCTTAGTAGACAACCGTATGATATATGTATAATGAGAGATTTGATCCTTCTTTTCTAATTATGTAGATTAACTTTTTTGGTCTTATTGCCTTTTCTTGGCCCTCTAGCACAATGCTGAGTAACAGTTGTGATAGAGATAGTGTCAGGACAGATGTATACAGTTGTGTGGGTTGTACCCTGCACAATTCTAGGGAATATCATTCACAAATACTTATATATCTTAGGCATTCTTGTCGTGTTTCTAAGTTTAATCCAATTTTGTTTCATACTGTGAACTTGCATTTCTTGGGAGCTTCCCTGGGGAATTCTCTGAGGTTGGAGTTGAAACTGTTTTCCTCCAGAGGAATTATATTTATGTTTGCCAGGAGCCTAAGGACAGCGGTAACTGGGCCCACTGTAGGCTTAGGGTTCACTAGTCACAGGAGTGGTAGGAACTATAAGCCAATGTAGATTTGTTGTTAGGAATCCTCAAAAGGAATTTTTTCTGCTCCACCCAGAGCCAAGGCTGATAAGGCCATGAATCACCCTGTCTCCCTGACTGGGCATCCACAGAGCATGTTACTGATGGGATCCTAACTTTATACTGAAATCTGTGGCCTGAACTCCTGCTCTGAGTGGGCCCCAGGCTTTGTCTTCTTCTTGCTGTGGCTGCTAAGGATCTGCAGGTGACCCAGGGCAAACTGTGACTCCCGTGACTAACAACTGTCTCCTAGCATGTTCTTACAAATTCTGGCCTGCGAGGCCTCCCTTATTTTCCTAATAGCTCAAACCTGCACTAAATACAATATCTAAAAAATAACTCAGTACTTTCAAGTGTGATATAGGGGAGGATTTTCTTTAAACACGTTCTGTATCAGAGCACCAACAATGAGATCTCTGTATATATTTTAATTTTTTTAAAAGATTTTATTTATTTATGTTTGCATAGAACTGGGGTGTAGGCCAGAGGTGTGGGGTGGGGGGTGTGTGAGAGGATTCACCAGAGACAGAGTGGGGCGCAGAATAGGCAGATCAACTGAAATACACTGCTGAGGGGAGAGGTCTGCTGTGCCGTGTGGGTTAACTCCCTAGCCGGGGATCAAACTCAGGCAGCCAGAGGGCCATCGTGGTGGTATTGCTGAGACTTAACCCCTAAGCCACCAGGGAGCACTGAACTCACTATTTTTTTTTCTTTCTTTCTTTCTTTTTTAGTAAGATTTATTTATTTATTTTATACAAGAACAGGGGTACAGGCCAGATGTGCGGGAGGGTGAGAGGATTCACCAGAGACAGAGCCGGGAAAAGAATAGGCAGACTGACGAAATACACTGCTGAGGGGAGCAGCGGGAGAGACAGGAGAGGTCTGCCGCACCATGTGGGACTCTCGCTGGCTGGCCGGGATCAAACCGGCACTGCAGAGGCTGCAGATAGCTTCACAGCACGACTCTCAACCACCTGCGCCACCAGGGGAGGCCCTGAACTCTATATTTTTGACTTTAAAGAGAATTGTTCTAATGCTTCTCCAGTAAGTAAGACATGAATAAAAGTGTTTGGTAACTTACATTAAATTAATGAAGTTCTCTTCTAGTCCTTGTGGTTAACCTAGAATCTTTAAATCATGAGTAGTTATTGATTTTTAGTAAATGCTTCTCAGTATCTACTCATTTCCTCAAGTTATTTTTGTAGGTAGTGGGCTCTTAATTAGACAGCTCATCCCAAGGGTGAGAGGAACAGAGATGCCCTAAAAGGTATGAGGACCTTTACAATATAGAACTATGATTTTCCATTAAGATGGACAATAAATTCATGAGGACAAAATTCAAATTCTTAGTGTGGCTACCACGCTGTATGCACTGAGCCATCAGATTATTGACTTCACTCCTCAGTGTGTCCCAGCCTGGTCACAATTGGGGACAAACTAGGAGGGTGGGAGGCCTCCTCATGCATTCAGGTGCCTTAATGT